GATCTGTTACATGCTGTTTTAGTTATCAGTTAAAATCTCCTAAACAGTACTAATCATACTAAGATAATCACCGAGTGCTCGCGTGACTTTTTCAATTTGCTGAGAAAGTTCACGGGTAGGTGCCAGAACAAAAGTTTGGCATTCAACTGTGCTGTAATCAAGCATTGCAAAAGGGAGCAATACCTCTTTGATGAATTGCAGAAGGCTTCTCAAGCCTTAACCCAATACCATAGCAGCATTTAGCTAATCACACACATAAAACTTTAAGGCAAGTAATGATACCATTAAAAGAAAATATAATCTAATACATGTAACAGTAAAAACCGCTAATAACTGTAAAAGTGAAAACCTCTCAAACAATAAACAATAATACATGTGGGATGGAGACTACGATATGAACACTATCATATTAACTTTTACTTTTACAATTGTCTCTTGTTCTCATCAAAGATTTTTGTATATTTTTTCTTCTTTCTTCTAATTTTCACAAACATGCATAGCTTTGGTTTCTGAATCAGATTAGGTTTTAATGGTCAATATTTGTAAACATGGAACAAATTAAAAATTAACTATGTTTACATCGATCTATTTCATGCTTTTTAGCTTAATTGAGGATGTTCGCGATCAGTTTAACTAAATTGTTTCAAGAAATTCTTGCACAACTCCATAAGAAGTAAATGTTATAAACTTTCATTAAGAAAATTGTATGATGCATCAAATAAAAAACTGAGCTCATTGTTCAACTTGAGGCCGTTGCATAAACAAGCTTTAAAATCAGCTATTCATACGACATGCATGTTCATATAAATAAAAAAATCATCACTCATACTTCATATTTTATATTTTATTAACATTTGAGTTCCTTGTTAGGAAATATTCTTGGAAGAAATATTGTCAACTTTTGAAATAGCAGGCATCTAATATTCTCATAAGCAATTCACAGTTTTCAAACATGTTTCTGTTTAAGTCATAATTAGATTTTTAATTTAAAATAATTTTCCAAAAACATAAGCAGTTAGGGGGTTTCTTTTTGTTTCACAGAACTTCAGAAGAAAGAGGTTAATCTTACGTGGCGGGAGTTTTGTTGATGAAAAATATGATTGGATTTAACATCAAATCCTTCAACCTAGCTCTGGTTGTGAGCTTCATTTCGACATAGAACAATTCTGAAACTATTCATAAAGAAAGAGTTTCTACAAGCAATTCGGGAAGGTGATTTCTCAAACTAATTTCTAATCTGTCATGTTTGGTGTTAGAAGTGAAAAAGAAAATGAAGGACTCGAAGGAGACGGGCACTTCTACAGGGAAAAGCCAAAAACTGGACAAGTGAAAGGCGGCGCATATAGAATTTTTCTATTGTGTGAGGTTAACTGTGCAACCTTTTAATTTTTTTAATTGAAGTTGCTTACGTGGGAATGTGTCCAATCATATATAGCCATATGTTGAATGCACCAAAACACTATAATATCAATTGGTATACCGTGGGAGCAACCCACAGTGTGCATGATGCTCCCAAGCCCAAAACATAGGTGAACAGTACATTGTGAAAAGTAACTTTCTTTTTGTCCAGGAGCAGGATGATGTAACTCGCGTGTAAAGAAATGTAACTTAAGCTGATAAAAAATGTAACTGCGGGGCAAATGCAAAATGTAACTTGTCTAATACAAAGTATAAGGAGTAAAACATTGATTTCAATTTAGACAATGAAAACAAGGAATCTGATTGGTCAATTACTTTACGTAAATAGTGAATATGTTTTGTTTTAAATATTAAGGCCATGAAAATGTTCCCAAAAATTCTTTTTTTTACCAAAACATCAATTTTGGGCAAATTTTTTAGTTTCAATACCAGGGTTTATTTTGTTATGTAATTCGTGTTATGGAAAATTTAATTTAGGTGTATGCAAAATGTAATTTGTTGAGGAAAATCCAAATGTAACTCGCGCATAGGAAAATGTAAATCACACATAAGAAGATATAACTCACGCATAAGAAGTATATTATACAACTTAATATACAACTTTGGTGTAACTTCATATACAACCAAATATAAATGGATGATTGGAAATAAACAACTCAATGTTTTAAAACTCTCTAAAAAGATATAAATGAGATTAAATATACAAGTATATTATAAGTGTATGAATAAAAAAATTTACAAAGATAAAAATAGTGTATGAATATGAAATGCAAGACACTTTTCATTTAAATTAATAATTTTTTTATTATGAATTTATACAAAAATAGATTGAGTGATAATTTAAGTTGAAGATAAAAGTAAATTAAAGTAATACAATTAAATTTTTAGTATTTTGATGGAGGAGGAGAAAAGAATTGAAGAAAAGGAAAATAAAGCAGAAGAAAAAGCAAACGAAAAGGATGTAACTCGCGCATAAGAAGATGTAACTCGCGTATAAAAAGATGTAACTCCTACACATGAAAAATGTAAATTTTTCATAAGAAGATGTAATTTCCTGTTTGATAAATGTAAATCGAAATAAACAAATTTAATGTCTTAGAAAACACTAAAACTTTTAAAAGAAGTAAAGGAATATATTATAGTAATTAAAATGTAATTGTGATCTTGTGGAAACATAAAGTAAATTTAGTTTGTTGTCACACACCACGTGTGTTCAACCTAGAGTCAATGAACCACAATTTCAATTCTTTGTAATTACTGGTGGGCGACAATTGAGTGATGAAGTAGTGTGTGCGTGGGAACGAGCGGAGGGTGATGAAGTAAAAACGACGATTGCGGACTTGCAGTGACATAGAAGAATCAATAGGCGGGTGCGATCTTGTTTTTATTTATTGAAACGACGCCGTATTGGGACCGGTATATCATGTAGAAGTTATACTGATCCCACGGTATAATTTGTGCTATAACACGGATGCACAGGAGAGCTCCCCAAACAACCAAGTTCTTAATAATTAAATAAAGGAACATTGTGCCATACAACTTCTGGCATTCAAATCCATTGCATTACTAAGAAATTTTAAAATAGTACACATTGTTCCAAGCTTACATCCTCAAATACACACTACCTACTAAAGCAAGATTTTTTTTTAAGTTTTTGGGTTGGATTGGGTATTTTGGGCCATTTGAGGTGGTTAGGGTGGTTTGGGGGTGAGGGGGAGGGTTGGGGGTTAACTAAGAAAAGCCAAAAAAAAAAATTAAACCGAGGCCCGGCCCGGACCCGGGGGTTACCCGGGCCGGTTCCGGGCCTCCCCTTCTTGAACCGAGGCCCGATCGGGCCCAGGCCCGAACCGGGCCCGAACCGGAACCGGTCCACCCCTACTTACATCCTCAAATACACACTACCTACTAAAGCAAGAAGTACAATCATAGTAAACCCATACAACTTGCTACTCTGTTTGTTGACCTTCGCCTCATTGTAAACAACAGTTTTGACCCAACCAACATCAATTGTACTAGCAAAATCTTTAGGACAAGTCCTTCGACCATTTTTTCAAATCATCTGCACTTTCGCTCTTCGCTTCAGCCCTGCCATATTCTTCTTTTCTTCAGCCCTCACAATGTGTCGTATGCCTACATCTTCCTTCCATAAGAAAAACCGCAAGTCCCAACCTGTACACATTAACATGATAATGGAAAGTTTCCAAATCATTAAAATATATAACGTATACAATAAATGAACGACGCAACACACTTTAATTCAAAACCACACAGCCAAAATCATAGACTTACCTTCCATTTTTGACACCCAAAAAAACTTCTCCCACTCTCTCGGCCAACGCATAGAGAAGCTTTCAATCCACACCAACAATGAATAACAGACTCGTAGTCAAAGGTACGACTTCGTTCTTTTAGAAGCGTAGATGATGATGAAGACGACATACTTGCGAAGGCCTCAGTCTGAAGGGAGAAGGAGAAGGTGCCAGCTTTGAAGTGAGAAATTTGGGAATTTGGGGTTTTGGGGATTTTTACAAACGTTTAGGCTTTGAAGTGGGGAAAAGCCAAGTCAGATTAAATGCCCGGTAAGGGAGGGACACGTTGGAGTCCATGTCAGCCATTAACTAGCTAACCGGGCGTCAATCGGCTAAAAAGGCAGATTGGGTGTTTTTGTTGAGTACGCGGACTTGATTGGGTGATTCGGAACTACGAGGGCTTAATTGAGGAATTGACCAAAGTACGAGGGTCTATTTGAGAGTTTTCTCAAATTTAAATGTAATTGTGATCATATGTAGTATGTGTTGCTGCACTTGCAAGTTGTAAGATAAAAAACTTAGCTTGAGGTTAGTTTCTTTCTCTTCTCTGTAATGCATTTATATTATTTTGAATGGATAAAAGAGATTTTGAATGCAAAGAGAACGAAATATATTTGGTTTTGGTCTTTTGTAAACATTAAATAAATTTAGTTTGTTGTCCCACACCACGTGCGTTCAACCTAGAGACAACGAACCACAATTTCAATTTTTTGTAATTACGAGTGAGCGACAATTAAGAGATGAAGCAGTGTGTGCGTGAGAACGAGCAAAAGGTGATGAAGGAAAAAGAGACGATTGAAGACTTGTTGTGACAAAGAAGAATCGATAGGAGGGTGCAAGCTTGTTTTTATTTATTGAAACCACGCTAGGACCGGTATACTACACCCATTTTATACCAAATATTATACTACATCCGTTCTTAAATAAATGCAACACTTTGACTTTTATACTATTCACATATTCTACTTTGACTTCGTTTTATTTATTAATGTAATAATATTATTTTATGAAAAAAATATTGTTAAACTTGTCTCATTGTAATTTTCATAATCTAATTTTTTTAATTTTTTTTACTAATAAAAATCATTTATATTAATGATCAAAGTTGTGTCTCGCCAAGTGTGAAATGTTGACCGTTGCATTTATTATTAAAAACGGAGAAAATATTAACTATCCCCAAATATAATTTGCCCCGTAATTTGTTATAAGGATCCCCAAATATATTACGTAATTCACTAATTTGCCCCTTAATTTGTTATAAGGATCTCCAAGTATCTTCCGATATCTTCCGATATCTTCCACGGATCTTTTGATATATTACCACTCCAACGGCTCTTTTGACATTCTCGAGAGGCCATTAGGTCCTTCCGCATCCGTCAGCCGTCACCCTCTGCATGTGCAAAGCTCAATCGACCATCCGCCTGCGAAGCAATCGCAGAAATGAAATGGCCGACACCTATGGGTCTGCCAAGAAGAATGCTTCGAGACCATCAGGTCAGCAGTCTCACCTTCCGCGGGTGTGAAACCCTAGCCCTTCAAAAACAATTGTTCCTAAAGTAAGTTTATCAATCGTGGAAAAGTAAAGATAAGTCATTAGTATATTATTCATATTTGCATATCTTTATCAGTTCACCACTTTTCAGTTTTCAGGCAGTAGATAAGGTTTTGGAATGACCTATTTGTAGTACGTAAAGCAAGGCTTTGAAATTATTCAACCAAATTGTTTTGTAAGTTTTCTCCCACCACAAATAATTTATAGTTTTTTGTTGTTTCTATTTATTTGATCTTTCATTTCACCACCAATAGCCACAGATTAAGTTTTTTGTTGCTCAATTACATATGCTTTGTGTGATATGCAGTTCTATTTTTTTTTACTTCCCTTTGAACATTTTTATCTGCATTTTTTGTTGCATGATTACATATACTTCTAGATTACACTGCGAATTAGATCATCAATAGTTCAGGTCCTATTTCATGACACATACCTTACTGTCTTCCAGGAGCAGATATTAAAACATAGACACTCTAGAAACATGGAACCTGAATCAGTGATTTTGTTTATGATCTTACATGAAGTATGACACATTGATATATTGTCATAACTGATAGTTGGTTTCTGTGTTGAGAAACATGTATGCAATTTCACCAATGGGGTGGAATTTCATGTACATATCCTTTTTCATAAGATAGATTTGTTTGACAATTCAGTATGCATCTTACACCTGCCTCTTAAGCTATATTTATCATTTTGTGTAGATTCGTGGATGCTCAGGTTGTTGTAATTTCAGGCATACTTGTTGTGTGCTTCTTTTTACCTTTTGTTTCTTGATTCTGCAGGACCTTAAAAGCTCTTGCGGAAGTTCACAATCATGGAAGCCAAGGCACATTCATTGCAAGAATTCCAGTTTGACGTTTTTCTGGCAAGAGTCACTAGAAGTTTTGCAAAACTGACAATGATCTGGACCATTTCTCTGCTTTAAAGGTGAAATTGAACCCTGTTAATGTTTTTTCCCTTGTTATTGTATCATTTGTTTTCTATTCCTTCTTAACATGGGAAAATTTTATATGGGCATTGCAGTTGTAAGATTTGGACTTTTAGTAACCCGAGATTTGCCCATCGTGAGAAGGCAATCAACAGAACACTCTTGGATGAAGAAATGCAGGATGCTTGAGAGATGTTACATGATAAATGCAGGTGTATATATATGTTATGCCTTTGTTCTCTTTAGGCGCCCCTTGTCATAATATTTTCAGTTTAAACATAGAGTGGTGGGTATTAACAAGTGTTTTACCATGTTATAATTCCTGAGTGGTATCAATAAGAAATTATCTTCCGTTTGTTTACTATTACTAGTCCTACATGAATACTTTTCTTTTGTGCCAATTGATTTTGTTTTTCTGAACAGGATAAACTAATTCAAAAGAAGCCCAATCGAAAAGGTCCAAATGTGAGTAGTCTACTGGCCGGATAATTCGGATTTGTCTAATCTGAGTATAGTATCGTGAGATAACCGAAGTCTCCAACACCAAATGTTTCGCCAAGTCCTTACCAAGCAGCAGAATTCTCAACTGAATTCTTGGTAAGCACATAATGGTGCGAGTGATAGCTTGAACCTGCTGATGGTACCCCTTGATGGGACACAGTCTTGCTAGAAATCTGAGGTTCAAGTTGATAGAGTAAGTTTGGCAAGCCTGGAAAACAATAAAGTGGTTAATAATATCTTTTTCTTTTTTGCATCTCTTTGATCATTCACTGCTTTTCAGGCAGTAGAGAAGATTTCGGCAGGAGTTATATGGGGAGTGATGGCACTAGAAGAAGTACGTTCCAAGCATAGTTTAGAAATTATGCAACCAAATTGTTCAGTAAGTCATCTCCCTCAAGCAAGAAGTTATGTATTTTTTCGTTTCTAATTATTTGATCTTCATGTCACAATCACTTAAAGCCTATTCAGGTGTACAATCCTGAGCATGAATGCAATTAGATAATTAGTCAAGTACTAAATTTTGATAGAGAGCTTGACTGATGGGACCGGACCCTAAATGATTTTACGTGATTATAAGCTCATACGTTAGACCATTTCATAAGTGCATATGTAATTCTGAAGTGGTATCAATAAAAAACTTATCATTCTGTGTTTACTATTCTTACATTAACACTTATCTTTCCTGCCTTGTGATTTTCCTTCTGAACAGGATGAACAAATGAAGGCCAATACGAGAGATCAAAATAACTATTGTTCTACTGGATGAAATGCCAAAGAAGCCTGAATCTTTTAAATGAAAAAAGGAAAAGGAACTGTTAAATCTTGAGTTCGAATTTGCCATCAGGATAGGGAAGGCGTGTATCGAAGAAATTGTTTTTGAAGAAGAAATGGATACAAAAACCTATAAAATAAAGAAAAGAACAAATAAAAAAGAAAATAAAAAAGCCAAAAAAAAAGAAAACAAAAAAGAAAACAAATACAAAAAAAGGCGAAAAAACAAAACAAAAACACATTTCCCTGTGCTGTTGCTTTATTCATGAGGTGTGAAAGCCTAGCCCTGCGAAAACAATTGTTCCTAAAGTAAGTTTATCAATCGTGGAAAAGTAAAGATAAGTCATTAGTATACTTTTTATATTTGCATATCTTTAACCGTTCACTACTTTTCTGTTTTCAGGCAGCAGAGAAGGTTTTGGAATGAGCTATTTATAGAGTGATGGCATTGAACTAGTACGTTAAGCAAGGCTTTGAAATAATTCAACTAAATTGTTTTGTAAGTTTTCTCCCACCAGAAATAATTTATTGTTTTTTGTTGTTTCAATTTATTTGATCTTTCATTTCACCACCAATAGCCACAGATTCCGTTTTTTATTGCTAAATTACATATGCTTTGTGTGATATGCGGTTCTATTTTTTTACTTTCCTGTGGACATTTTTATCTGCATTTTTGTTGCATTATTACATGTGCTTCTCTAGATTACACTGCGAATTAGATCATCAATAGTTCAGTCCCTGTTTCATGACACATACCTTACTGTCTTCCAGGAGCAGATATTAAAACATAGACACTCTAAAAACATGGAACCTGAGTCAGTACTTTTGTTTATGATCTTACCTGAAGTATGAGACATCGATATATTGTCATAACCGATAGTCGGGTTCTGTGTTGAGAAACATGTATGCAATTTCACCAATGGGGTGGAATTTCATCTACATATCCTTTTTCATAAGATAGATTTGTTTGACAATTCAGTACGCATCTTACACCTGCCTCTTTCGCTATATTTATCATCTTGTGTAGATTTGTAAATGGTCTGGTTGCTGTAATTTCACGCATACTTGTTGTTTGCTTCTATTACCTTTTGTTTCTCTCTTTGTCAGGACCTTATAAGTTTTTGTGGAAGTTCACAATCATGGAAGCCAAGGCACATTCATTGCACGAAATCCAGTTTGACGTTTCTTTGGCAAGAGTCACTAGAAGGGTTGCTAAACTGACAATGATCTGGACCATTTCTCTGCTTTAAAGGTGAAACTGAACCCTTTTAATGTTTTTTTCCCTTGTTATTGTATTATTTGTTTTGTATTCCTTCTCAACATGGGAAAATTTTAAATGGGCATTGCAGTTGTAAGATTTGGACTTTTAGTAACCCGAGATTTGCCCATCATGAGAAGGCAATCAAGAGCACACTCTTGGATGAAGAAATGCAGGATGCTTGAGAGATGTTACATGATAAATGCAGGTGTATATATATGTTATGCCTTTGTTCTCTTTAGGCGCCTCTTGTCATAATATTTTTCTGTTTAAAAATAGAGTGGTGTGTATTAACAAGTGTTATACCATGTTATAATTCCTGAAGTGGTATCAATAAGAAATTATCTTCCGTTTGTTTACTATTACTAGTCCTACATGAATAATTTTCTTTTGTGCCTATGAATTTTGTTTTTCTGAACAGGATAAACTAATTCAAAAGAAGCCCAATCTAAAAGGTCCAATTGTTTCGTGAGATAACCGAAGTCTCCAACACCAAATATTTTGCCAAGTCTTACCTAGCAGCAGAATTCTTGGTAAGCACATATTGGTGCGAGTGATAGCTTGAACCTGATGATGATACCCCATGATGGGACACAGTCTTGCTAGAAATCTGAGGTTCAAGTTCCTAGAGTAAGTTTGGCAAGCCTGGAAAACTGTAAAGTGGTTAATAATATCTTTTTCTTTTTTGCATATCTTTGACCGTTCACTGCTTTTCAGGGAGTAGAGAAGATTTTGGCAAGAGTTATATGGGGAGTGATGGCACTAAAAGAAGTACATTCCAAGCATAGTTTAGAAATTATGCAACTAAATTGTTCGGTAAGTCATCTCCATCAAGCAAGAAGTTATATATTTTTTCCTTTCTAATTATTTGATCTTCATGTCGCAATCACTAACAGCCCATTCAGCTGTACAATCATGAGCATGAATGCAATTAGATTATTAGTCCAATACTAAATTTCGATAGAGAGCTTGACTGATGGGACCCTAAATGATTTTAAATGATTATAGGCTCATACGTTAGATCATTTCATAAGTGCATATGTAATTCTGAAGTGGTATCAATAAAATACTTATCATCCTTGTGTTTACTATTCTAAAATTAGCACTTATCTTTCCTGCCTTGTGATTTTCCTTCTGAACAGGATGAACAAATGAAGGCCAATACGAGAGATCAAAATAAGAAGTGTTCTACTGGATGGAATGCCAATGAAGCCTGAATCTTTTAAATGAAAAGGAAAAGGAAATGTTAAATCTTGAGTTCGAAATTGCATTAGGAGAGGGAAGGCGTGTACCGATGAAATTGTTTTTGACGAAAAAATGGATACAAAAACCAAAAAAAAAAAAAGAAAAGAACAAAAAAAAACAGAAAAGCAAAAAAAAGAATAGAGAACAAAAATGCAAAAAAAAAAAATAGAAAACCAAAAAAAAAGAAAACAAATACAAAAAAAAGGTGAAATAAAAAAAACAAAAACTTATGTCCCAGTGCTGTTGCTTTGTTCATGAGGTGTGAAAGCCTATCCATGCGAAAACAATTGTGCACATTCATTGCAAGAATTCCAGTTTGACGTTTTTTTTTGGCAAGAGTCACTAAAGGGTTGCAAAACTGACAATGATCTGGACCATTTCTCTGCTTTAAAGGTCAAACTGAACCCTGTTAATGTTTTTTCCGTTGTTATTGTATTATTCATTTTCTATTCCTTCTCAACATGGGAAAATTTTATATGGGCATTGCAGTTGTAAGATTTGGACTTTTAGTAACCCGAGATTTGCCCATCGTGAGAAGGCAATCAAGAGCACACTCTGGGATGAAGAAACGCAAGATGCTTGAGAGTTGTTACATGATAAATGCAGGTGTATATATATGTTATGCCTTTGTTCTTTTTAGGCGCCTCTAGTCATAACATTTCTGTTTAAAAATAGAATGGTGGGTATTAACAAGTGTTATACCATGTTATAATTCCTGAGTTGTATCAATAAAAAATTATCTTCCGTTTGTTTACTATTACTTGTCCTACATGAACATTTTTCTTTTGTGCCTATTGATTTTGTTTTTCTAAACAGGATAAACTAATTCAAAAGTAGCCCAATCGAAAAGGTCCAAATGTGTGTAGTCTACTGGCTGGATGATTCGGATTTGCCTAATCTGAGTATAGTTTCGTGAGAAACCGAAGTCTCATCACCAAATGTTTCGCCAAGTCTTACCTAGCAGCAGAATTCTTGGTAGGCACATATTGGTGCCAGTGATAGCTTGAACCTGCTGATGGGTACCCCTTGATGGGACACAGTCTTGCTAGAAAACTGAGGTTCAAGTTCCTAGAGTAAGTTTGGCAAGCCTGGAAAACTGTAAAGTGGTTAATAATATCTTTTTCTTTTTTGCATATCTTTGACCGTTCACTGCTTTTCAGGGAGTAGAGAAGATTTCGGCAGGAGTTATATGGGGAGTGATGGCACTAGAAGAAGTACGTTCCAAGCATAGTTTAGAAATTATGCAACTAAATTGTTCAGTAAGTCATCTCCATCAAGCAAGAAGTTATATATTTTTTCCTTTCTAATTATTTGATCTTCATGTCACAATCACTAACAGCCCATTCAGCTGTACAATCATGAGCATGAATGCAATTAGATAATTAGTCCAATACTAAATTTCGATAGAGAGCTTGACTGATGGGACCCTAAATGATTTTAAATGATTATAGGCTCATACGTTAGATCATTTCATAAGTGCATATGTAATTCTGAAGTGGTATCAATAAAATACTTATCATCCTTGTGTTTACTATTCTAAAATTAGCACTTATCTTTCCTGCCTTGTGATTTTCCTTCTGAACAGGATGAACAAATGAAGGCCAATACGAGAGATCAAAATAAGAAGTGTTCTACTGGATGGAATGCCAATGAAGCCTGAATCTTTTAAATGAAAAGGAAAAGGAAATGTTAAATCTTGAGTTCGAAATTGCATTAGGAGAGGGAAGGCGTGTACCGATGAAATTGTTTTTGACGAAAAAATGGATACAAAAACCAAAAAAAAAAAGAAAAGAACAAAAAAAAAAACAGAAAAGCAAAAAAAAAAGAATAGAGAACAAAAATGCAAAAAAAAAAAAATAGAAAACCAAAAAAAAAGAAAACAAATACAAAAAAAAGGTGAAATAAAAAAAACAAAAACTTATGTCCCAGTGCTGTTGCTTTGTTCATGAGGTGTGAAAGCCTATCCATGCGAAAACAATTGTGCACATTCATTGCAAGAATTCCAGTTTGACGTTGTTTTTGGCAAGAGTCACTAAAGGGTTGCAAAACTGACAATGATCTGGACCATTTCTCTGCTTTAAAGGTCAAACTGAACCCTGTTAATGTTTTTTCCGTTGTTATTGTATTATTCATTTTCTATTCCTTCTCAACATGGGAAAATTTTATATGGGCATTGCAGTTGTAAGATTTGGACTTTTAGTAACCCGAGATTTGCCCATCGTGAGAAGGCAATCAAGAGCACACTCTGGGATGAAGAAACGCAAGATGCTTGAGAGTTGTTACATGATAAATGCAGGTGTATATATATGTTATGCCTTTGTTCTTTTTAGGCGCCTCTAGTCATAACATTTCTGTTTAAAAATAGAATGGTGGGTATTAACAAGTGTTATACCATGTTATAATTCCTGAGTTGTATCAATAAAAAATTATCTTCCGTTTGTTTACTATTACTTGTCCTACATGAACATTTTTCTTTTGTGCCTATTGATTTTGTTTTTCTAAACAGGATAAACTAATTCAAAAGTAGCCCAATTGTGCACATTCATTGCAAGAATTCCAGTTTGACGTTTTTTTTGGCAAGAGTCACTAAAGGGTTGCAAAACTGACAATGATCTGGACCATTTCTCTGCTTTAAAGGTCAAACTGAACCCTGTTAATGTTTTTTCCGTTGTTATTGTATTATTCATTTTCTATTCCTTCTCAACATGGGAAAATTTTATATGGGCATTGCAGTTGTAAGATTTGGACTTTTAGTAACCCGAGATTTGCCCATCGTGAGAAGGCAATCAAGAGCACACTCTGGGATGAAGAAACGCAAGATGCTTGAGAGTTGTTACATGATAAATGCAGGTGTATATATATGTTATGCCTTTGTTCTTTTTAGGCGCCTCTAGTCATAACATTTCTGTTTAAAAATAGAATGGTGGGTATTAACAAGTGTTATACCATGTTATAATTCCTGAGTTGTATCAATAAAAAATTATCTTCCGTTTGTTTACTATTACTTGTCCTACATGAACATTTTTCTTTTGTGCCTATTGATTTTGTTTTTCTAAACAGGATAAACTAATTCAAAAGTAGCCCAATCGAAAAGGTCCAAATGTGTGTAGTCTACTGGCTGGATGATTCGGATTTGCCTAATCTGAGTATAGTTTCGTGAGAAACCGAAGTCTCATCACCAAATGTTTCGCCAAGTCTTACCTAGCAGCAGAATTCTTGGTAGGCACATATTGGTGCCAGTGATAGCTTGAACCTGCTGATGGGTACCCCTTGATGGGACACAGTCTTGCTAGAAAACTGAGGTTCAAGTTCCTAGAGTAAGTTTGGCAAGCCTGGAAAACTGTAAAGTGGTTAATAATATCTTTTTCTTTTTTGCATATCTTTGACCGTTCACTGCTTTTCAGGGAGTAGAGAAGATTTCGGCAGGAGTTATATGGGGAGTGATGGCACTAGAAGAAGTACGTTCCAAGCATAGTTTAGAAATTATGCAACTAAATTGTTCAGTAAGTCATCTCCATCAAGCAAGAAGTTATATATTTTTTCCTTTCTAATTATTTGATCTTCATGTCACAATCACTAACAGCCCATTCAGCTGTACAATCATGAGCATGAATGCAATTAGATAATTAGTCCAATACTAAATTTCGATAGAGAGCTTGACTGATGGGACCCTAAATGATTTTAAATGATTATAGGCTCATACGTTAGATCATTTCATAAGTGCATATGTAATTCTGAAGTGGTATCAATAAAATACTTATCATCCTTGTGTTTACTATTCTAAAATTAGCACTTATCTTTCCTGCCTTGTGATTTTCCTTCTGAACAGGATGAACAAATGAAGGCCAATACGAGAGATCAAAATAAGAAGTGTTCTACTGGATGGAATGCCAATGAAGCCTGAATCTTTTAAATGAAAAGGAAAAGGAAATGTTAAATCTTGAGTTCGAAATTGCATTAGGAGAGGGAAGGCGTGTACCGATGAAATTGTTTTTGACGAAAAAATGGATACAAAAACCAAAAAAAAAAAGAAAAGAACAAAAAAAAAAACAGAAAAGCAAAAAAAAAAGAATAGAGAACAAAAATGCAAAAAAAAAAAAATAGAAAACCAAAAAAAAAGAAAACAAATACAAAAAAAAGGTGAAATAAAAAAAACAAAAACTTATGTCCCAGTGCTGTTGCTTTGTTCATGAGGTGTGAAAGCCTATCCATGCGAAAACAATTGTGCACATTCATTGCAAGAATTCCAGTTTGACGTTTTTTTTGGCAAGAGTCACTAAAGGGTTGCAAAACTGACAATGATCTGGACCATTTCTCTGCTTTAAAGGTCAAACTGAACCCTGTTAATGTTTTTTCCGTTGTTATTGTATTATTCATTTTCTATTCCTTCTCAACATGGGAAAATTTTATATGGGCATTGCAGTTGTAAGATTTGGACTTTTAGTAACCCGAGATTTGCCCATCGTGAGAAGGCAATCAAGAGCACACTCTGGGATGAAGAAACGCAAGATGCTTGAGAGTTGTTACATGATAAATGCAGGTGTATATATATGTTATGCCTTTGTTCTTTTTAGGCGCCTCTAGTCATAACATTTCTGTTTAAAAATAGAATGGTGGGTATTAACAAGTGTTATACCATGTTATAATTCCTGAGTTGTATCAATAAAAAATTATCTTCCGTTTGTTTACTATTACTTGTCCTACATGAACATTTTTCTTTTGTGCCTATTGATTTTGTTTTTCTAAACAGGATAAACTAATTCAAAAGTAGCCCAATCGAAAAGGTCCAAATGTGTGTAGTCTACTGGCTGGATGATTCGGATTTGCCTAATCTGAGTATAGTTTCGTGAGAAACCGAAGTCTCATCACCAAATGTTTCGCCAAGTCTTACCTAGCAGCAGAATTCTTGGTAGGCACATATTGGTGCCAGTGATAGCTTGAACCTGCTGATGGGTACCCCTTGATGGGACACAGTCTTGCTAGAAAACTGAGGTTCAAGTTCCTAGAGTAAGTTTGGCAAGCCTGGAAAACTGTAAAGTGGTTAATAATATCTTTTTCTTTTTTGCATATCTTTGACCGTTCACTGCTTTTCAGGGAGTAGAGAAGATTTCGGCAGGAGTTATATGGGGAGTGATGGCACTAGAAGAAGTACGTTCCAAGCATAGTTTAGAAATTATGCAACTAAATTGTTCGGTAAGTCATCTCCATCAAGCAAGAAGTTATATATTTTTTCCTTTCTAATTATTTGATCTTCATGTCACAATCACTAACAGCCCATTCAGCTGTACAATCATGAGCATGAATGCAATTAGATAATTAGTCCAATACTAAATTTCGATAGAGAGCTTGACTGATGGGACCCTAAATGATTTTAAGTGATTATAGGCTCATACGTTAGATCATTTCATAAGTGCATATGTAATTCTGAAGTGGTATCAATAAAATACTTATCATCCTTGTGTTTACTATTCTAAAATTAGCACTTATCTTTCCTGCCTTGTGATTTTCCTGCTGAACAGGATGAACAAATGAAGGCCAATACGAGAGATCAAAATAAGAAGTGTTCTACTGGATGGAATGCCAATGAAGCCTGAATCTTTTAAATGAAAAGGAAAAGGAAATGTTAAATCTTGAGTTCGAAATTGCATTAGGAGAGGGAAGGCGTGTACCGATGAAATTGTTTTTGACGAAAAAATGGATACAAAAACCTAAAAAAAAAGAAAAGAACAAAAAAAAAGAAAACAGAAAAGCAAAAAAAAAAAGAATAGAGAACAAAAAAGCAAAAAAAAAAATAGAAAACCAAAAAAAAAGAAAACAAATACAAAAAAAAGGTGAAATAAAAAAAACAGAAACTTATGTCCCAATGGTGTTGCTTTGTTCATGAGGTGTGAAAGCCTATCCATGCGAAAACAATTGTGCCTAAAGTAAGTTTATCAATCGTGGAAAAGTAAAGATAACTCTTTAGTATATTTTTCATATTAGTATATCTCCAACCGTTCATTACTTTTCAGTTTTCAGGCAGTACAGAATGTTCTGGAATGAGCTATTTGTAGAGTGATGACACTGAAGTAGTACGTTAAGAAAGGCTTTGAAATTATTCAACTAAATTGTTTTGTAAGTTTTCTCCCACCAGAAATAATTTGTAGTTTTTTGTTGTTTCTACTTATTTGATCTTTCATTTCACCACCAATAGCCACAGATTCAGTTTTTTGTTGCTCCGTTACATATGCTTTGTGTGATATGCAGTTCTATTTTCTTTACTTTCCTTTGAACATTTTTATCTGCATTTTTCGTTGCATGATTACATATGCTTCTCTAGATTACACTGCGAATTAGATCATGAATAGTTCAGGCCCTGTTTCATGACACATACCTTACTGTCTTCGAGGAGCAGATATTAAAACATAGACACTCTAGAAACATGGAACCTGAATCAGTGCTTTTGTTTATGATCTTACATGAAGTATGAGACATTGATAAATTGTCATAACCGATAGTTGGTTTCTGTGTTGAGAAACATGTATGCAATTTCACCAATGGGGTGGAATTTCAAGTACGTATCCTTTTTTCATAAGATAAATTTGTTTGACAATTCAGTACGCATCTTACACCTGCCTCTTAAGCTATATTTATCATTTTGTGTAAATTCGTGGATGCTCAGATTGCTGTAATTTCAGGCGGCATACTTGTTGTGTGCTTCTTTTACCTTTTGTTTCTTGATTCTGCAGGACCTTAAATGTTCTTGCGAAAGTTCACAATCATGGAAGCCAAGGCACATTCATTGCTAGAATTCCAGTTTGACGTTTTTTTGGCAAGAGTCACTAAAAGGGTTGCAAAACTGACAATGATCTGGACCATTTTTTCTGCCTTAAAGGTGAAACTGAACCCTGTTAATGTTTTTTCCGTTGTTATTGTATTATTCGTTTTTCATTCCTTCTCAACATGTGAAAATTTTATATGGGCATTGCAGTTGTAAGATTTGGACTTTTAGTAACCTGAGATTTGCCCATCGTGAGAAGGCAATCAAGAGCACACTCTGGGATGATGAAACGCAGGATGCTTGAGAGATGTTACATGATAAATGCAGGTGTATGTATATGTTATGCCTTTGTTCTCTTTAGGCGCCTCTTGTCATAATATTTCTGTTTAAAAATGGAGTGGTGGGTATCAACAAGTGTTATACCATCTTATAATTCCTGAGTGGTATCAATAAGAAATTATCTTCCGTTTGTTTACTATTAGTAGTCCTACATGAACATTTTTCTTTTGTGCCTATTGATTTTGTTTTTCTGAACAGGATAACAGGATAAACTAATTCAAAAGAAGCCCAATCGAAAAGGTCCAAATGTGAGTAGCCTACTGGCTGGATGATTCAGATTTGCCTAATCTGAGTATAGTTTCGTGAGATAACCGAAGTCTCCAACACCAAATGTTTCGCCAAGTCTTACCTGCTGATGGTACCCCTTGATGGGTCAGTCTTGCTAGAAATACGAGGTTCAAGTTTCTAGGCAGTAGAGAAGATTTTGGTAGGAGTTATATGGGGAGTGATGGCACTGGAAAAAGTACGTTCCAAGCATAGTATAGAAATTATGCAACTTAATTGTTCGGTAAGTTATCTCCCTCAAGCAAGAAGTTATATTTTTTCTTTTCTAATTATTTTATCTTCATTTCACAATCACTAACAGCCTATTGAGCAGTACAAACATGAGCATGAATGCAATTAGTGAATTAGATAATTAGTCAAGTACTAAATTTTGATAGAGAGCTTGACTGATGGGACCATACGTTAGACCATTTCATAAGTGCCATATGTTATTCTGAAGTGGTATCAATAAAAAACTTATCATTCTTGTGTTTACTATTCTTGCATTAGCACTTATCTTTCCTGCCTTGTGATTTTCCTTCTGAACAGTATAAACAAATGAAGGCCAATACGAGAGATCAAAATAAGAAGTGTTCTACTGGATGGAACGCCAATGAAGCCTGAATCTTTTTCATGAAAAGGAAAACGAAATGCTAATCTTGAGTTCGAAATTGCCATTACGGGAGGGAAGGCGTGTACCGATGAAATTGTTTTTGACGAAAAAATGGATACAAAAACCTAAAAAAAGAAAAGAACAAAAAAAATAGAAAACAAAAAAGCAAAAAAAAAAATAGAAAACAAAAAAGCAAAAAAAAAAAAAATAGAAAACAAAAAAAAGAAAACAAAATACAAAATAAAAGTCGAAAAAAAAAAACAAAAAACATGTCTTAGTGCTGTTGCTTTGTTCATGAGGTGTAAAAGCCTAGCCCTGCGAAAACAATTGTTCCTAAAGTAAGTTTATCAATCGTGGAAAAATAAAGATAAGTCATTAGTATATTTTTCATATTTGTATATCTTTAACCGTTCACTACTTTTCATTTTTCAGGCAGTAGAGAAGGTTCTGGAATGAGCTATTTCTAGAGTGATGGCACTGAAGTTGTACGGTAAGCAAGGCTTTGAAATTATTCAACTAAATTGTTTTGCAAGTTTTCTCCCACCAGAAATAATTTATAGTTTTTTGTTGTTTCTACTTATTTGATCTTACATTTCACCACCAATAGCCACAGATTCAGTTTTTTGTTGCTCAATTACATAAGCTTTGTGTGATATGCAGTTCTATTTTTTTTACTTCCCTTTGAACATTTTTATCTGCATTTTTTGTTGCATGATTACATATGCTTCTCTAGATTACACAGCGAATTAGATCATCCATAGTTCAGGCCCTGTTTCATGACGCATACCTTACTGTCTTCCAGGAGCAGATATTAAAACATAGACACTCTAGAAACATGGAACCTGAATCAGTGCTTTTGTTTATGATCTTACATGAAGAATGAGACATTGATATATTGTCATAACTGATAGTTGGTTTCTGTGTTGAAAAACGTGTATGCAATTTCACCAATGGGGTGGAATTTCATGTACATATCCTTTTTCACCAGATAGATTTGTTTGACAATTCAGTAAGCATCTTACACCTGCCTCTTAAGCTATATTTATCATTTTGTGTAGATTTGTGGATGCTCAGGTTACTGTAATTTCAGGCATACTTGTGTGCTTCTTTTACCTTTTGTTTCTTGATTCTGCAGGACCTTAAAAGTTCTTGCGGAAGTTCACAATCATGGAAGCCAAGGCACATTCATTGCAAGAATTCCAGTTTGACGTTTTTTTGGCAAGAGTGACTAGAAGGGTTGCAAAACTGACAATGATCTGGACCATTTTTCTGCTTTAAAGGTGAAACTGAACCCTGTTAATGTTTTTTCCGTTATTGTATTATTCGTTTTCTATTCCTTCTCAAAATGGGAAAATTTTATATGGGCATTGCAGTTGTAAGATTTGGACTTTTAGTAACCTGAGATTTGCCCATCGTGAGAAGGCAATCAAGAGCACACTCTTGGATGAAGAAATGCAGGATGCTTGAGAGATGTTACATGACAAATACCGGTGATAGCTTGGATCAAGAGCAGAATTCTTAGTAAGCGCATATTGGTGCCGGTGATAGCTTGAACCTGCTGATGGCACCCCTTGATGGGACACAGTCTTGCTAGAAATCTGAAGTTCAAGTTCCTAGAGTAAGTTTGTCAAGCCTGGAAAACTGTAAAGTGGTTAATAATATCTTTTTCTTTTTTGCATATCTTTGACCGTTCACTGCTTTTCAGGCAGTAGAGAAGATTTTGGTAGGAGTTATATGGGGAGTGATGGCACTAGAAGAAGTACGTTCCAAGCATAGTTTAGAAATTATGCAACTAAATTGTTCGGTAAGTCATCTCCCTCAAGCAAGAAGTTATATATTTTTTCTTTTCTAATTATTTGATCATCATGTCACAATCACTAACAGCCTATTCAGCAATACAAACATGAACATGAATGCAATTAGATAATTAGTCAAATACTAATTCTCGATAGATAGCTAACTGATGGGACCGGACCCTAAATGATTTTACGTGATCATAGGCTCATACGTTAGACCATTTGATAAGTGCATATGTTATTCTGAAGTGGTATCAATAAAAAACATATCATTCTTGTATTTACTATTGTTACGTTAGCACTTATCTTTCCTGCCTTGTGATTTTCCTTCTGAACAGGATGAACAAATGAAGGCCAATACGAGAGATCAAAATAAGAAGTGTTCTACTGGATGGAATGCCAAAGAAGCTTGAATCTTTTAAATGAAAAGGAAAAGGAAATGTTAAATCTTGAGTTCGAAATTGCCATCAGGAGAGGGAAAGGCGTGTACCGATGAAATTGTTTTTGATGAAAATATGGATACAAAAACCTAAAAAAAGAAAAGATAAAAAAAAAAATAGAAAACAAAAATGCAAAAAGAAAAAAAAACAAAAAAAGAAAACAAATACAAAAAAAAACGGCGAAAAAACAAACAAAACAAAAACACATGTCCCAGTGCTGTTGCTTTGTTCATGAGGTGTGAAAGCCTAGCCCTGCGACAACAATTGTTCCTAAAGTAAGTTTATCAATCGTGTAAAAGTAAAGATAAGTCATTAGTATATTTTTCATATTTGTATATCTTTAACCGTTCACTACTTTTCAGTTTTCAGGCAGTAGAGAAGGTTTTGGAATGAGCTATTTGTAGAGTGATGGCACTGAAATAATACGTTAAGCAAGGCTTTGAAATTATTCAACTAAATTGTTTTGTAAGTTTTCTCCCACCAGAAATAATATATAGTTTTTTGTTGTTTCTACTTATTTGATCTTTCATTTCACCACCAATAGCCACAGATTCAGTTTTTTGTTGCTCAATTACATATGCTTTGTGTGATATGCAGTTCTATTTTTTTTACTTACTTCCCTTTGAACATTTTTATCTGCACTTTTTGTTACATGATTACATATGCTTCTCTAGATAACACTGCGAATTATATCATCAATAGTTCAGGCCCTGTTTCATGACACATACCTTACTGTCTTCCAGGAGCAGATATTAAAACATAGACACTCTAGAAACATGGAAGTTGAATCAGTGCTTTAGTTTATGATCTTACATGAAATATGAGACATTGATATATTGTCATAACTAATAGTTGGTTTCTGTGTTGAGAAACATGTATGCAATTTCACCAATGGGGTGGAATTTCATGTACATATCCTTTTTCATAAGATAGATTTGTTTGACAATTCAGCACGCATCTTACAGGCCTCTTAAGCTATATTTATCATTTTGTGTAGATATTTGGATGCTCAGGTTGCTTTAATTTCAGGCATACTTGTTGTGTGCTTCTTTTACCTTTTGTTTCTCGATTCTGCAGGACCTTAAAAGTTCTTTTGGAAGTTCACAATCATGGAAGCCTAGGCACATTCATTGCAAGAATTCCAGTTTGACGTTTTTTTTGGCAAGACTCACTAGAATGTTTGCAAAACTGACAATGATCTGGACCATTTCTCTGCTTTAAAGGTGAAAGTGAACCCTGTTAATGTTTTTTCCGTTGTTATGTATTATTCGTTTTCTATTCCTTCTCAACATGGGAAAATTTTATATGGGCATTGCAGTTGTAAGATTTGGACTTTTAGTAACCCGAGATTTGCCCATCGTGAGAAGGCAATCAAGAGCACACTCTTGGATGAAGAAATGCAGGATGCTTGAGAGATGTTACATGACAAATGCAGGGTGTATATATATGTTATGCCTTTGTTCTCTTTAGGCGCCTCTGGTTATAATATTTCTGTTTAAAAAGAAATTATCTTCCGTTTGTTTACTACTACTAGTCCTACATGAACACTTTTCTTTTGTGCCTATTGATTTTGTTTTTCTGAACAGGATAAACTAATTCAAAAGAAGCCCAATCGAAAAGGTCTAAATGTGAATAGTCTACTGGCTGGATGATTCGGATTTGCCTAATCTGAGTATAGTTTCGTGAGATAACCGAAGTCTCCAACACCAAATGTTTCGCCAAGTCTTACCTAGCAGCATCATTCTTGGTAAGCACATATTGGTGCCAGTGATAGCTTGAACCTGCTGATGGGGTACCCCTTGATGGAACACATTCTTGATAGAAATCTGAGGTTCAAGTTCCTAGAGTAAGTTTCCCAAGCCTGGAAAACTATAAAGTGGTTAATAATATCTTTTTCTTTTTTGCTTATCTTTGACCGTTCATTACTTTTCAGGCAGTAGAGAAGATTTCGTCAGGACGTATATGGGAAGTGCACTAGAAGAAGTACGTTCCCAGCATAGTTTAGATGTTACATGACAAATGCAGGTGTATATATATGTTATGCCTTTGTTCTCTTTAGGCGCCTCTTGTTATAATATTTCTGTTTAAAAAGAAATTATCTTCCGTTTGTTTACTACTACTAGTCCTACATGAACACTTTTCTTTTGTGCCTATTGATTTTGTTTTTCTGAACAGGATAAACTAATTCAAAAGAAGCCCAATCGAATAGGTCTAAATGTGAATAGTCTACTGGCTGGATGATTCGGATTTGCCTAATCTGAGTATAGTTTCGTGAGATAACCGAAGTCTCCAACACCAAATGTTTCGCCAAGTCTTACCTGGCAGCATCATTCTTGGTAAGCACATATTGGTGCCAGTGATAGCTTGAACCTGCTGATGGGGTACCCCTTGATGGAACACATTCTTGATAGAAATCTGTGGTTCAAGTTCCTAGAGTAAGTTTCCCGAGCCTGGAAAACTATAAAGTGGTTAATAATATCTTTTTCTTTTTTGCTTATCTTTGACCGTTCATTACTTTTCAGGCAGTAGAGAAGATTTCGGCAGGACGTATATGGGAAGTGCACTAGAAGAAGTACGTTCCAAGCATAGTTTAGAAATTATGCAACTAAATTGTTCTATACGTGATATATTCTTTCGGTAAGTTATCTTCTTCAAGCAAGAAGTTATATATTTTTCCTTTCTAATGATTTGATCTTCATGTCACAATCACTAACAGCCTATTCAGCAGTACAAACATGAGCATGAATGCAATTAGTTAATTAGTCAAATACTCAATTTCGATAGAGAGCTTGACTGATGGGACTCTAAATGATTTTACGTGATTATAGGCTCATACGTTTGACCATTTCATAAGTGCATATGTAATTCTGAAGTGGTATCAATAAAAAACTTATCATACTTGTGTTTACTATTCTAACATTAGCACTTATCCTTCCTGCCTTTTGATTTTCCTTCTGAACAGGATGAACAAATGAAGGCCAATACGAGAGATCAAAATAAGAAGTGTTGTACCGGATGGAATGCCAAAGAAGCCTGAATCTTTTAAATGAAAAGGAAAAGGAAATGTTAAGTCTTGAGTTCGAAATTGCAATCAGGACAGGGAAGGCGTGTACCGAAGAAATTGTTTTTGACGAAAAAATGGATACAAAAACCTAAAAAAAAACGAAACGAATAAAAAAAAGAAAATAAAAAAGCCAAAAAAAAAAAGAAAACAAAAAAGCCAAAAAAAAACAATCATGGCACTGAAGTAGTACGTTCAGCATGGCTTTGAAATTATTCAACTAAATGTTTTTGTAAGTTTTCTCCCACCAGAAATAATTTATAGTTTTTTGTTGTTTCTATTTATTTTATTTTATCTTTCATTTCACCACCAATAGCCACAGATTCAGTTTTTTGTTGCTCAATTACATATGCTTTGTGTGGAATGCAGTTCTATTTTTTTTTTACTTTCCTTTGAACATTTTTATCTGCATTTTTTGTTGCATGATTACAAATGCTTGTCTAGATTACACTGCGAATGAGATCATCAATAATTCAGGCCCTGTTTAATGACACATACCTTGCTGTCTTCCAGGAGCAGATATTAAAACATAGACACTCTAAAAGCATGGAACCTGAATCAGTGCTTTTGTTTATGATCTTACTTGCCACTTAAGTTATATTTATCATCTTGTGTAGATTCGTGGATGCTCAGGTTGCTGTAATTTCAGGCATACTTGTTGTGTGCTTCTATTACCTTTTGTTTCTTGATCTGCAGGACCTTAAAAGTTCTTGCGGAAGTTCACAATCATGGAAGCTAAGGCACATTCTTTGCAACATTTCAAGTTTGACTTTTTTTGGCAGGACTCACTAGAAGGGTTGCAAAACTAACAATGATCTGGACTATTTCTCTGCTTTAAAGGTAAAAGTCTCACCGTGAAACTTGAACCCTGTTAATGTTATTTCCCTTGTTATTGTGTTACTCTTTTTCAATTCCTTCTCAACATGGGAAAATTTTATATGGGCATTGCAGTTGTTAAGCTTTGGACTTTTAGTAACCCGAGATTTGCCCATCGTGAGAAGGCAATCAAGAGCACACTCTTGGATGAGGAAAAGCTGGATGCTTGAGAGATGTTACATGATAAATGAAGGTGTATATATATGTTATGCCTTTGTTCTCTTTAGGCGCCTCTTGTCATTATATTTCTGTTTAAAAATAGAGTGGTGGGTATTAACAAATGTTATACCATATTATGACTTCATTTAAAATCATTTCGGATCTTCCGTTTGTTTATTTTCATTGCGGAAGTTTCTGCGGTGCGTTTAAAATCATTCCGGTTTGTTACATTTATTGTCTAATTTATTTTCATTGCGTAAGTTTGATTGCTTTGCAGAGCCTTTAAAATCATTTCGGATTTTGTTTGGGTTTATATAGGTCGCAGACGCGTACGATGAAGCTCTGAGCATTGTGAAACTGGATTTAGGAGTGGGCATTATAAAGCCAATGTGAGTGTTGTACTTTTCATGTTCTATTTTCACAGCATAAGTTTGATTATTTGCGGTGTGTTTAAACTCATCTCGGATTTGCTTAGTTTGGTTTTTATTTTTTCGAACACTGATCATACTTCGTTTCTTGCAAATCATGAGTTTATTTTCCAGTTAGGCTATATTATGTCTACCTTCTTGATATTTTACATTTAAAAGCAGTGAAGAAAGAATAGTAATTTAGAACTAATTTCTCTACTCGCAGTTTTGGGTGTGCATTTCTATATTTTTTGCAATGGCCATCATACCTTAAGATAAATCGTATTTGATTGAATTTATTGGGTTAAGAGCCGAAAGCTTTCTTCTTAACTACTGAAACAACTATTTACTAGTCTCTGAAATTCACTCATATTTATTCGACCATATAGATGGGCTAGCGTCAAGAGAATCTGAAATTACTTTATATATATAAGAGTTTGTAAAGTTTATTTTAAATTTATTTTCAGAGCGGAAGTTTAATTATTTGGTGGTGTTTTAAATCGTTTCGGATTGTGCTTTTATTTATACTGGTTGCAGATGCATATGACGGAGGTTGGAGCTCTATGAAGTTGCATTTAGGAGTGGGTGTTTTCAGGCTTAGGTGAGAGTTGTGGTTTTTATTTTAGTGAAGAAATAAATAAGTTTGATTATTTAGCGGTGTGTTTAAAATCATCTCGGATTAGCCTTATTTGGTTAACGTTGAGAAAGTTGTAAAGCAATTTATTCACATTTTTGGTTAAGTTTACTGTATGATTTATTTTCCCCGTTAGTTTTTTTAAAAATTCAGTTCGGGGTTTGTTTGGCTTTACATAGGTCATACACAGAAGCGCAACATCAAGATTCGAGCACATTGAAGTTGGTGGTCGGCGTGGGTGATTATCACACTGAGTAAGTGTTGTGATTTTCATTCTGTAGTAATTAAAAAGAAAGACTTTATTGCAAGCATTATTTTTTTTGATATTGTGAGTTTCAGTTTGTTTGTTGAAAATATATATATGATCCATGTAATTTGTTGTTTATAACTAAAATTTATCATAGTTCTAAAAAAAATTCATGTAAGAAAAGTTGATATTCAAAATCCTAAAGTATTCAGTGAAGTTTTTTCGGAGTGTGTTACTATTACTACGATCAGGAGGGTTATTCTATCGATAAGGTTTAATGAATGAATACTTTTTGTTAAATTACTTTTGTAATTAGGTGCAGGTGGACGTCCTTATTCTTTTGTGTTGTATTGTTTGTTGCTAGAACAACCAAAGTTTTATATATACTCTGATCTGTTACATGCCGTTTTAGTTATCAGTTAAAAACTCCTAAACAGTACTAATCAAAACTTCCAAAGCCAATCAAATCTTAAGATAAATGGTAGTTAATTCATTTCTTTAACTTAGTATAACGATCCCGAGAACCTCCTTTTAAAAAACTTTACAACTCTTTACTAGTCTCGTAAATTTACTCATATTTACTCAAAAATCTAGATGGCCAAGCATCTGGAGAATCGGATATTCGATTTTATATATAAAAGTTTGTTAAGTTTATTGTCTAAGTTATGTTCAGTGCATAAGTTTGATTGCTTTGCAGTGCGTTTAAAATCATTTCGGATTGTGTTTGGCTTTATATAGTCGCAGACGCGTACTGTGAAGCTCCGAGCATTGTGAAACTGGATTTAGGAGTGGGCATTATAAGGTGGTGAGTTTTGGACTTTTCATGTTTTATTTTCACAGCATAAGTTTGATTATTTGCAGTGTGTTTTAAACTCATCTCGGATTGGCTTAGTTTGGTTTTTATTTTTTTCGAACACCGATCATAATTCGTTTCTTGCATTTCACCAGTTAAGCTATATTATGTCTACCTTCTTGATATTTTACATTTAAAAGCAGTGAAGAAAGAATAGTAATTTAGAACTAATTTCTCTACTCGCAGTTTTGGGTGTGCATTTGTATATTTTTTGCAATGGCCATCATACCTTAAGATAAATCGTATTTGATTGAATTTATTGGTTTAAGAGCCGAAAGCTTTCTTCTTAACTACTGAAACAACTATTTACTAGTCTATGAAATTCACTCATATTTATTCGACCATCTAGATGGGCTAGCGTCAAGAGAATCTGAAATTACTTTATATATATAAGAGTTTGTAAAGTTTATTTTAAATTTATTTTCAGAGCGGAAGTTTAATTATTTGGTGGTGTTTAAAATCGTTTCGGATTGTGCTTTTATTTATACTGGCTGCAGATGCATATGGCGGAGGTTGGAGCTCTATGAAGTAAGAGTGGGTGTCATCGGGCTTAGGTGAGTGTCGTGGTTTTTATTTTAGTGAAGAAATGAAAAAGTTTGATTATTTGGCGGTGTGTTTAAAATCATCTCGGATTAGCCTTATTTGGTTTTAATTTTACGAACGGGCTAACGTTGAGAAAGTTGTAAAGCAATGTATTCACATAATTTGTAAAGCAATGTAATTTGTATTACATGCAGCAAATTTAATTCGGCTTAGACCAACTGCATATCATGAATGAACCCAATGCAATTAGTAACTGGACAAGAGCCAAACTTAGCACACATTAAGATATTTGGTTGTGCTGTTTATGTTCCAATTGCTCCACCTCATCGTACAAAAATGGGTCCTCAAAGAAGGTTGAGAATTTATGTTGGTTTTGAATCTCCCTCAATAATAAAATATCTTGAACTGATGAGTGGTGACTTATTCACAGCACGGTTTGCAGACTGTCATTTCAATGAGACAGTGTTCCCAACCTTGGGGTGAGAAAAAAATAAATTAGACCCAGGTACGAAAGAGATAACGTGGAATGCAACAGGGTTATCACATCTTGACTCAAGAACAAACACAGGAAAATTGTACGAAAGAGATAACATTTTTTTCCATAGGTTATACACTCACTATGTATATTTTTTCTTCTTTCTTCTAATTTTCACAAACAGGCATAGCTTTGGTTTCTGAATCAGATTAGGTTTTAATGGTCAATATTTGTTCAAGTACAACAAATTAAAAATTAACTATGTTTACATCGATCTATTTCATGCTTTTTAGCTTAATTGAGGATGTTCGCGATCAGTTTATCTAAATTATTTCGAGAAATTCTTGCACAACTCCATAAGAAATAAATGTTATAAACTTTCATTAAGAAATTGTATGATGCATCAAATCAAAAACTGAGCTCATTGTTCAACTTGAGGCCGTTGCATAAACAAGCTTTGAACTCAGCTATTCATACGACATGCATGTTCATATAAATAAAAAAATCATCACTCATATTTCATATTTTATATTTTATTAACATTTGAGTTCCTTGATAGGAAATATTCTTGGAGGAAATATTGTCAACTTTTGAAATAGCAGGCATCTCATATTCCCATAAGCAATTCACAGTTTTCAAACATTTGTTTCTGTTTAAGTCATAATTAGATTTTTACTTTAAAATAATTTTCGAAAAACATAAGCAGTTAGAGGGTTTCTTTTTGTTTCACAGAACTTCAGAAGAAAGGGGTTAATCTTACGTGGCGGGAGTTTTGTTGATGAAAAATATGATTGGATTTAACATCAAATCCTTCAACCTAGCTCTGGTTGTGAGCTGCATTTCGACACAGAACAATTCTGAAACTATTCATAAAGAAAGGGTTTCTACAAGCAATTCGGGAAGGTGAATTCTCAAACAAATTTCTAATCTGTCATGTTTGGTGTTAGAAGTGAAAAAGAAAATGAAGGACTTGAAGGAGACGGGCACTTCTACAGGGAAAAGCCAAAAACTGGACAAGTGAAAGGCGGCGCATAGAATTTTTCTATGGTGTGAGGTTAATTGTGCAACTTTTTAATTTTTTTAATTGAAGTTGCTTACGTGGGAATGTGTCCGATCATATATAGTCATATGTTGAATGCACCAAAACACTCTATAATATCAATTGGTATATCGTGGGAGCAGCGCACAGTGTGCATGATGCTCCCAAGCCCAAAACACGGGTGAACAGTACATTGTGAACAGTAACTTTCTTTTTGTCGAGGAGCAGGATGATGTAACTCGCGTGTAAAAAATGTAATTTAAGCTGATAAAAAATGTAACTGCGGGGCAAAAGGCAAAATGTAACTTGTCTAATACGAAGTATAAGGAGTAAAACATTGATTTCAATTTAGACAATGAAAACAAGGAATCTGATTGGTCAATTACTTTACGTAAATAGTGAATATGTTTTGTTTTAAATATTAAGGTCATGAAAATGTTCCCAAAAAGCCTTTTTTTGCCAATAAATCAATTTTGGGCAATTTTTTAGTTTCAATAGTAGGGTTTATTTTGTTATGTAATTCGTGTTATGGAAAATTTAATTTAGGTGTATGCAAAATGTAATTTGTTGAGGAAAATCCAAATGTAACTCGCACATAGGAAGATGTAAATCACACATAAAAACATATAACTCACGCATAAGAAGTATATTATACAACTTAATATACAACTTTGGTGTAACTTCATATACAACCAAATATAACTGGATGATTGGAAATAAACAACTCAATGTCTTAAAACTCTCTAAAAAGATATAAATGAGATTAAATATACAAGTATATTATAAGTGTATGAATAAAAAAAATTACAAAGATAAAAATAGTGTATGAATATGAAATGCAACACACTTTTCATTTAAATTAATAAATTTTTTATTATGAATTTATACAAAAATAGATTGGGTGATAATTTAGGTTGAAGATAAAGTAAATTAAAGTAATACAATTAAATTTTTAGAATTTTGATGGAGGAGGAGAAAAGAATTGAAGAAAAGAAAATAAAGCAGAAGAAAAAGCAAATGAAAAGGATGTAACTCGCGCATAAGAAGATGTAACTCCTACACATGAAAAATGTAAATTTTTCATAAGAAGATGTAATTTCGTGATTGATAAATGTAAATCGAAATAAACAAATATAATGTCTTAGAAAACACTAAATCTTTTAAAAGAAGTAAAGGAATATATTATAGTAATTAAAATGTAATTGTGATCTTGTGGAAACATAAAATAAATTTAGTTTGTTGTCACACACCACGTGTGTTCAACCTAGAGTCAATGAACCACAATTTCAATTCTTTGTAATTACTGGTGGACGACAATTGAGGGATGAAGTAGTGTGTGCGTGGGAACGAGCGAAGGGTGATGAAGTAAAAAAGACGATTGCAGACTTGCAGTGACAGAGAAGAATCAATAGGAGGGTGTGACCTTGTTTTTATTTATTGAAACGACGCCGTATTGGGACCGGTATACCATGCAGCTGTTATATTGATCCCACGGTATAATTTGCGCTATAACACGGATGCACAGGAGAGCTCCCCAAACAACCAAGTTCTTAATAATTAAATAAAGGAGCATTGTGCCATACAACTTCTGGCATTCAAATCCATTACATTACTAAGAAATTTTAAAACAGTACACATTGTTCCAAGCTTACATCCTCAAATACACACTACCTACTAAAGCAAGAAGTACAATCATAGTAAACCCATACAACTTCCTACTCTGTTTGTTGACCTTTGCCTCATTGTCAACAACAGTTTTGACCCAACCAACATCACTTGTACTAGCGAAATCTTTAGGACAAGTCCTTCGACCATTTTTTTCAAATCATCTGCACTTTCGCTCTTCGCTTCAGCCCTATCATATTCTTCTTTTCTTCAGCCCTCACAATGTGTCGTATGCCTACATCTTCCTTCCATAAGAAAAACCGCAACTCCCAACCTGTACACATTAACATGATAATGGAAAGTTTCCAAATCATTAAAATATATAACGTATACAATAAATGAACGACGCAACACACTTTAATTCAAAACCACACAGCCAAAATCATAGACTTACCTTCCATTTTTGACACCCAAAAAAACTTCTCCCACTCTCTCGGCCAACGCATAGAGAAGCTTTCAATCCACACCAACAATGAATAACAGGCTCGTAGTCAAAGGTACGACTTCGTTCTTTTAGAAGCGTAGATGATGATGAAGACGACATACTTGCGAAGGCCTCAGTCTGAAGGGAGAAGGAGAAGGTGCCAACTTTGAAGTGGGGAATTTGGGAATTTGGGGTTTTGGGGATTTTTACAAACGTTTAGGCTTTGAAGTGGGGAAAAGCCAAGTCATATTAACTGCCCGGTAAGGGAGGGACACGTTGGAGACCATGTCAGCCATTAACTGGCTAACCGGGCGTCAACCGGCTAAAAAGGCAGATTGGGTGTTTTTGTTGAGTACGCGGACTTGATTGGGTGATTCGGAACTACGAGGGCTTAATTGAGGAATTGACCAAAGTACGAGGGCCTATTTGAGAGTTTTCTCGAATTTAAATGTAATTGTGATCATATGTAGTATGTGTTGCTGCACTTGCAAGTTGTAAGATAAAAAACTTAGCTTGAGGTTAGTTTCTTTCTCTTCTCTCTAATGCATTTATATTATTTTGGATGGATAAAAGAGATTTTGAATGCAAAGAGAACGAAATATATCTGGTTTTGGTCTTTTGTAAACATAAAATAAATTTAGTTTGTCGTCACACACCACGTGCGTTCAACCTAGAGACAACGAACCACAATTTGTGTTGTATTGTTTGTTGCTAGAACAACCAAAGTGTTATATATACTCCGATCTGTTACATGCTGTTTTAGTTATCAGTTAAAAACTCCTAAACAGTACTAATCATACTAAGATAATCACCGAGTGCTCGCGTGACTTTTTCAATTTGCTGAGAAAGTTCACGGGTAGGTGCCAGAACCAAAGTTTGGCATTCAACTGTGCTGTAATCAAGCATTGCAAAAGGGAGCAATACCTCTTTGATGAATTGCAGAAGGCTTCTCAAGCCTTAACCCAATACCATAGCAGCATTTAGCTAATCACACACATAAAACTTTAAGGCAAGTAATGATACCATTAAAAGAAAATATAATCTAATACATGTAACAGTAAAACCGCTAAAAACTGTAAAAGTGAAAACCTCTCAAACAATAAACAATAATACATGTGGGATGGAGACTACAATATGAACACTATCATATTAACTTTTACTTTTACAATTGTCTCTTGTTCTCATCAAAGATTTCTGTATATTTTTTCTTCTTTCTTCTAATTTTCACAAACATGCATAGCTTTGGTTTCTGAATCAGATTAGGTTTTAATGGTCAATATTTGTAAACATGGAACAAATTAAAAATTAACTATGTTTACATCGATCTATTTCATGCTTTTTAGCTTAATTGAGGATGTTCGTGATCAGTTTAACTAAATTGTTTCAAGAAATTCTTGCACAGCTCCATAAGAAGTAAATGTTATAAACTTTCATTAAGAAAATTGTATGATGCATCAAATAAAAAACTGAGCTCATTGTTCAACTTGAGGCCGTTGCATAAACAAGCTTTAAAATCAGCTATTCATACGACATGCATGTTCATATAAATAAAAAAATCATCACTCATACTTCATATTTTATATTTTATTAACATTTGAGTTCCTTGATAGGAAATATTCTTGGAAGAAATATTGTCAACTTTTGAAATAGCAGGCATCTAATATTCTCATTAGCAATTCACAGTTTTCAAACATGTTTCTGTTTAAGTCATAATTAGATTTTTAATTTAAAATAATTTTCAAAAAACATAAGCAGTTAGGGGGTTTCTTTATGTTTCACAGAACTTCAGAAGAAAGAGGTTAATCTTACGTGGCGGGAGTTTTGTTGATGAAAACAAATATTTATTCGACCAAGGTTTATTTTTTATTTTTTCAAACACGGATCATACTTCGTTTCTTGCAAATCATGAGGTTATTTTCCAGTTAAGCTTTATTGTGTTTACCTTTTTGAAATTTTACATTTAAAAGCAGTGAAGAAAAATAATAGTTTAAAACTAATTTCTCAACTCGTAGTTTATAGTAATTGACAAGAATGACTTTATTGCAAGCGTTAGTTATTTTTTTATATTGTGAGTTTAAGTTTGTTTGTTCCAAAGTTTTATCATCCCTTTAATTTGTTGTTTATAACTAAAAAATTTCATAGTTCTAAAAAGAATTCATGTAAGAAAAGTTGAAATTCTTTTTGATATTGTTGTTAAATTACTTTTGTCATGAGTAGCAGGTTGATGTCCTTATTCTTCTGTGTTGTATTGTTTGTTGCTTGAACAACCAAAGTGTTATATATACTCTGATCTGTTACATGCTGTTTTAGTTATCTGTTAAAAACACCTAAACAGTACTAATCATACTTCGTTTGTTACTAATCATGAATTTTTTCTAGTTGGGCTTGAAGTCTTCCTTTTTTTAAATTTTACATTTAAAAGCAATAGTGAAAGAATAATGGTAGTTATGCTTGGTCTCTACCAACTTTTTCCAAAGCCCATCAAATCTCAAGATAAATGGTAGTTAATTGAATTCTTTAAGTTTGTATAAAGATCCCGAGAACCTCCTTCCAAAAAACTTTACAACTCTTTACTAGTCTCGTAAATTTACTCATATTTATCAAAAATCTAGATGACCAAGCATATGGAGAATCACATATTCAATTTTATATAAAAGTTTGTGAAGTTTATTGTCTAAGTTATTTGAAGTGTGTAAGTTTGATTGCTTTGCAGTGCGTTTAAAATCATTTAACAAGATCTTTGGCTTTATATAGGTCGCAGACGTGTACGGTGAAGCTTCGAGCATTGTGAAACTGGATTTAGGAGTGCGCATTTTAAAGCTAAGGTGACTGTTTGACTTTTCATGTTTTATTTTCACAGCATAAGTTTGATTATTTGCAGTGTGTTTAAACTCATCTCGGATTGGCTTAGTTTGGCTTTTATTTTTCAAACACCGATCATACTTCGTTTCTTGCAAATAATGAGTTTATTTTCCAGTTAAGCTCTATTATGTCCACGTTTCTGAAATTTTACATTTAAAAGCAATGAAGAAAGAATATTAATATAAAACTAATTTCTTAACTCGTTGTTTTTGTTGGGCAGATATATTTTTTTGTGCAAAGGCCATCAAACCTTAATTTAAATGGTATTTTGGTTGAATTTATTGAGTTAAGAGCCTAGAGATTTCTTCTTAACTACTGAAACAACTATTTACTAGTCTCTGAAATTACGTTTTTGCAATTTTACATTTAAAAGCAATGTAGAAAGAATATTAATATAAAACTAATTTCTTAACTTGTTGTTTTGGGTGGGCAGTTGTATATTTTTTGCAAAGGCCATCAAACCTTAAGATAAATGGTATTTGGTTGAATTTATTGGGTTAAGAGCCTAGAGATTTCTTCTTAACTACTGAAATTCACTCATATTTATTCGACCAAGGTTTATTTTTTATTTTTTCAAACACGGATCATACTTCGTTTCTTGCAAATCATGAGGTTATTTTCCAGTTAAGCTTTATTATGTTTACCTTTTTGAAATTTTACATTTAAAAGCAGTGAAGAAAAATAATAGTTTAAAACTAATTTCTCAACTCGTAGTTTATAGTAATTGACAAGAATGACTTTATTGCAAGCGTTAGTTATTTTTTTATATTGTGAGTTTAAGTTTGTTTGTTCCAAAGTTTTATCATCCCTTTAATTTGTTGTTTATAACTAAAAAATTTCATAGTTCTAAAAAGAATTCATGTAAGAAAAGTTGAAATTCTTTTTGATATTGTTGTTAAATTACTTTTGTCATTAGTAGCAGGTTGGTGTCCTTATTCTTCGGTGTTGTATTGTTTGTTGCTTGAACAACCAAAGTGTTATATAGTATTCTTTTTGATATTGTATTGTTGTATTCTTCTGTTTTAGTTATCTGTTAAAAACACCTAAGCAGTACTAATCATACTTCGTTTGTTACTAATCATGAATTTTTTCTAGTTGGGCTTGAAGTCTTCCTTTTTTTAAATTTTACATTTAAAAGCAATAGTGAAAGAATAATGGTAGTTATGCTTGGTCTCTACCAACTTTTTCCAAAGCCCATCAAATCTCAAGATAAATGGTAGTTAATTGAATTCTTTAAGTTTGTATAAAGATCCCGAGAACCTCCTTCCAAAAAACTTTACAACTCTTTACTAGTCTCGTAAATTTACTCATATTTATCAAAAATCTAGATGGCCAAGCATCTGGAGAATCACATATTCAATTTTATATAAAAGTTTGTGAAGTTTATTGTCTAAGTTATTTGAAGTGTGTAAGTTTGATTGCTTTGCAGTGCGTTTAAAATCATTTAACAAGATCTTTGGCTTTATATAGGTCGCAGACGTGTACGGTGAAGCTTCGAGCATTGTGAAACTGGATTTAGGAGTGCGCATTATAAAGCTAAGGTGAGTGTTTGACTTTTCATGTTTTATTTTCACAGCATAAGTTTGATTATTTGCAGTGTGTTTAAACTCATCTCGGATTGGCTTAGTTTGGTTTTTATTTTTCAAACACCGATTATACTTCGTTTCTTGCAAATAATGAGTTTATTTTCCAGTTAAGCTCTATTATGTCTACGTTTTTGAAATTTTACATTTAAAAGCAATGAAGAAAGAATATTAATATAAAACTAATTTCTTAACTCGTTGTTTTGGTTGGGCAGATGTATTTCTTTTGCAAAGGCCATCAAACCTTAATATAAATGGTATTTTGGTTGAATTTATTGGGTTAAGAGCCTAGAGATTTCTTCTTAACTACTGAAACAACTATTTACTCGTCTCTGAGAAATTTTACATTTAAAAGCAATGAAGAAAGAATATTAATATAAAACTAATTTCTTAACTTGTTGTTTTGGGTGGGCAGTTGTGTATTTTTTGCAAAGGCCATCAAACCTTAAGATAAATTGTATTTGGTTGAATTTACTGGGTTAAGAGCATAGAAATTTCTTCTTAATTACTGAAACAACTATTTACTAGACTCTGAAATTCACTCATTTTTATTCGACCAAGGTTTGTTTTTTATTTTTTCAAACACAAATTATACTTCGTTTCTTGCAAGTCATGAGGTTATTTTCCAGTTAAGCTTTGTTATGTTTACCTTTTTAAAATTTTACATTCAAAAGCAATGAAGAAAAATAGTAGTTTAAAACTAACTTCTCAACTTGTAGTTTTGGGTGGGCAGTTGTATATTTTTTGCAAAGGCCATCAAACCTTAAGATAAATGGTATTTGATTAAATTTATTGAGTTATGACCCGAGAGCTTTTATCTGAATAACTTAAACAACTATTTACTAGTCTCGTAAATTTACTCATATTTACTCAAAAATCTAGATGGCAAAGCATCTGGAGAATCACATATCCAATTTTATATAAAAGTTTGTTAAGTTTATTGTCTAAGTTATTTTAAGTGCGTAAGTTTGATTGCTTTCAAGTGCGTTTAAAATCATTTAACATTATGCTTGGCTTTATATAGGTCGCAGTCGCGTACGGTGAAGCTCCGAGCATTGTGAAACTGGATTTAGGAGTGGGCATTATAAAGCTACGGTGAGTGTTGAACTTTTCATGTTTTATTTTCACAGCATAAGTTTGATTATTTGCAGTGTGTTTTAAACTCATCTCGGATTGGCTTAGTTTGGTTTTTATTTTTAAACACCGATCATATTTTGTTTCTTGCAAATCATGAGTTTATTTTCCAGTTAAGCTCTATTATGTCTATGTTTTTGAAATTTTACATTTAAAAGCAATGAAGAAAGAATATTAATATAAAACTAATTTCTTAACTCGTTGTTTTGGGTGGGCAGTTGTATATTTTTTGCAAAGGCCATCAAACCTTAAGATAAATGGTATTTGGTTGAATTAATTGGGTTAAGAGTCTAGAGATTTCTTCTTAATTACTGAAACAACTATTTACTAGTCTCTGAAATTCACTCATATTTATTTGACCAAGGTTTGGTTTTTATTTTTTCAAACACGGATCATACTTCGTTTCTTGGGTTTGGTTACAAATCATGAGTTTATTCTAGTTGGGCTTGAAGTCTTCCTTTTTTTAAATTTTACATTTAAAAGCCATAGTGAAAGAATAATGGTAGTTATGCTTGGGCTCTACCAACTTTTTCCAAAGCCCATCAAATCTTAAGATAAATGGTAGTTAATTGAATTCTTTAAGTTAGTATAAAGATCCCGAGAACCTCCTTCCAAAAAACCTTACTACTCTTTACTAGTCTCGTAAATTTACTCATATTTACTCAAAAATCTAGATGCCAAAGCATCTGGAGATTCACATATCCAATTTTATATACAAGTTTGTTAAGTTTATTGTCTAAGTTATTTTAAGTGCGTAAGTTTGATTGCTTTGCAGTGCGTTTAAAATTATTTAACCTTATGTTTGGCTTTATATAGGTCGCAGACGCGTACGGTGAAGCTCCGAGCATTGTGAAACTGGATTTAGGAGTGGGCATTATAAAGCTAAGGTGAGTGTTGGACTTTTCATGTTTTATTTTCACAGCATAAGTTTGATTATTTGCAGTGTGTTTTAAACTCATCTCGAATTGGCTTAGTTTGGTTTTTATTTTTAAACACCGATCATATTTTGTTTCTTGCAAATAATGAGTTTATTTTCCAGTTAAGCTCTATTATGTCTACGTTTTTGAAATTTTACATTTAAAAGCAATGAAGAAAGAATATTAATATAAAACTAATTTCTTAACTCTTTGTTTTGGGTGGGCAGTTGTATATTTTTTGCAAAGGCCATCAAACCTTAAGATAAATGGTATTTGGTTGAATTTATTGGGTTAAGAGCCTAGAGATTTCTTCTTAATTACTGAAACAACTATTTACTAGTCTCTGAAATTCACTCATATTTATTTGACTAAGGTTTGGTTTTTATTTTTTCAAACACGGATCATACTTCGTTTCTTGCAAATCATGAGGTTATTTTCCAGTTAAGTTTTATTATGTTTACCTTTTTAAAATTTTACATTTAAAAGCAGTGAAGAAAAATAGTAGTTTAAAACTAATTTCTCAACTCGTAGTTTTGGGTGGGCAGTTGTATATTTTTTCCAAAGGCCATCAAACCTTAAGATAAATGGTATTTGATTAAATTTATTGAGTTAAGACCCGAGAGCTTTCTTCTGAATAACTTAAACAACTATTTACTAGTCTCTGAAATTCACTTATATTTTTTCGACCATCTAGATGGGCTAGCGTCTAGAGAATCTGAAATAACTTTATATATATAAAAGTTTGTAAAGTTCATTGTTTAATTTATTTTCAGAGCGTCTAAGGTGTGTTTTAAATCGTTTCGGATTGTGCTTTTATTTATACTGGTTGCATATGCATATGACGGAGGTTGGAGCTCTATGAAGTTGCATTTAGGAGTGGGTGTTATCAGGCTTAGATGAGAGTTGTGGTTTTTATTTTAGTGAAGAAATAAATAAGTTTGATTATTAAGCGGTGTGTTTAAAATCATCTCGGATTAGCCTTATTTGGTTAACGTTGAGAAAGTTGTAAAGCAATTTATTCACATTTTTGGTTAAGTTTACTGTATGATTTATTTTCCCCGTTAGTTTTTTTAAAAATTCAGTTCGGGGTTTAATTGGCTTTACATAGGTCATACACAGAAGCGCAACATCAAGATTCGAGCACATTGAAGTTGGTGGTCGGCGTGGGTGATTATCACACAGAGTAAGTGTTGTGATTTTCATTCTGTAGTAATTAAAAACAAAGACTTTATTGCAAGCATTAGTTTTTTTGATATTGTGAGTTTCAGTTTGTTTGTTGAAAATATATATATGATCCATGTAATTTGTTGTTTATAACTAAAATTTATCATAGTTCTAAAAAGAATTCATGTAAGAAGTTGATATTCAAATTCCTAAAGTATTAAGTGAAGTTTTTTCAGAGTGTGTTAGTATTACTACGATCAGGAGGGTTATTCTATCGATAAGGTTTAATGAATGAATACTTTTTGTTAAATTACTTTTGTAATTAGGTGCAGGTTGATGTCCTTATTCTTTTGTGTTGTATTGTTTGTTGCTAGAACAACCAAAGTTTTATATATACTCCGATCTGTTACATGCTGTTTTAGTTATCAGTTAAAAACTCCTAAACAGTACTAATCATACTCCGTTTCTTACAAATCATGAGTTTTTTCTAGTTGGGCTTGAAGTCTACCTTTCTTAAAATCTTACATTTAAAAGCAATAGTGAAAGAATAATGGTAGTAATGCTTCGTCTCTGCCAACTTTTTCCAAAGCCAATCAAATCTTAAGATAAATGTGTTGGGAATATTTTATGGTGTTCAATCTAGTTAGTTATCTTTGTATTTGTGTAGTTATTAATTAATCGTGTAATACGGGCCACAAATGTGTATCAGCCCGTGAGCTTCCTTGTAACCCGTAAGTTAGCTAACTTCTCCTATAAAAGGAGGCTAACTTACGGGAACCCTAACGATCGATAGAGGCTTAGAGACGCAGAGGCGTAAAGATAGAGAGAGTTTAGGTTTGCCGCTGCTCTCCTTCTCCAGGGAGAGCAGCGGCCGGTTTTCATACGGTATACCAGATTTGGGTATAAACTTGTCGATTTCTTTCTATCTGCTTCTTCTATAACTGTTATCTTTGTTGTTTGTTAAGTATTCTGGGATTAACAATTGGTATCAGAGTCGAGGCGTGAAACAGGTTGAATGTATCTGCGATTTTCTTGGATCTAACGAAGAATGCTCTACTTTTCTTCTCTTTTTCTTCATATAGAGTTTTGCTCCTGTAATCTTGTTTGTGAACGAAAATCTGAAAAAATTATATTGTTGGAATCGCCTCTCAAAACCGATTCTACAGCATATCTTCTTTTTCGTTTTCTGCAAATTTTCATTTTCGAAAAACTCTCCTTGGAAACTCGAGTTTATGCTTTTATATGCCTGCAGAAACGATTTTGACTTGAAACAGATACAGGAGGGATCGTGACCTTCAGGGCTATTCAGAACAGTTTTCAGATTCTCAAAATTCGACAGTTTTTAAAACCGAGAGTTTGTAAACTCGCGGTCATGAACTCGAGTTTGTAAACTCGCGGTCATGAACTCGAGTTTGTAAACTCGCGGTCATGAACTCGAGTTTGTAAACTCGCGGTCATGAACGAGAGTTTGTAAACTCGCGGTCATGAACGAGAGTTTGTAAACTCGCGGTCATGAACGAGAGTTTGTAAACTCGCGGTCATGAACTCGAGTTTGTAAACTCGCGGTCATGAACGAGAGTTTGTAAACTCGCGGTCATGAACGAGAGTTTGTAAACTCGCGGTCATGAACGAGAGTTTGTAAACTCGCGGTCATGAACGAGAGTTTGTAAACTCGCGGTCATGAACGAGAGTTTGTAAACTCGCGGTCATGAACTCGAGTTTGTAAACTCGCGGTCATGAACTCGAGTTTGTAAACTCGCGGTCATGAACTCGAGTTTGTAAACTCGCGGTCATGAACTCGAGTTTGTAAACTCGCGGTCATGAACTCGAGTTTGTAAACTCGCGGTCATGAACTCGAGTTTGTAAACTCGCGGTCATGAACTCGAGTTTGTAAACTCGCGGTCATGAACTCGAGTTTGTAAACTCGCGGTCATGAACTCGAGTTTGTAAACTCGCGGTCATGAACTCGAGTTTGTAAACTCGCGGTCATGAACTCGAGTTTGTAAACTCGCGGTCATGAACTCGAGTTTGTAAACTCGCGGTCATGAACGAGAGTTTGTAAACTCGCGGTCATGAACGAGAGTTTGTAAACTCGCGGTCATGAACTCGAGTTTGTAAACTCGCGGTCATGAACGAGAGTTTGTAAACTCGCGGTCATGAACTCGAGTTTGTAAACTCGCGGTCATGAACTCGAGTTTGTAAACTCGCGGTCATGACATCGAGTTTTAAACCTCGAGTTTTTAAAATTTGAGAGTTTTGGAATTGCGAGTTTTGGAATTTATTTCGAGTTTTAGGAACTCGATGTTTTGGATTTCGACATTCTAAAAAATTTCAGAATTTTCGGAATTTCTCGATGTTTTGAATCTTTCAAAGTTTGCAGTTTCTTGGAACTCATAATTCGAATCTTGACATCCTTTGCAGTTCATCGAAGCTTTACATTATAAGGATCTCTGAATGATTCCCTGCTTATATAAATGTTTCAGGAGTTTTCGATGTTCTGATGTTTTTCAAACAGCAAGTTTTCGATATTATGAAGTTTTTCGAAACTCCAAAGTTTTCGAGGTTCCAAACATTTTGAAATTCTGAAGATTTCGTTATTCTGAGATCTGTTTTGCAGGTGGATTTCGTCATTACTCTTCAAGGCAAACTAGAAATTAAAATTTCCAGATTTGGATTTCGAGTTTTTGCCTTAGAATTTTGTTTAAATTCACCTGCTCTTGAAATTCAACATTGAGAACCTCAACCTCGAAGATTTTCCTCAAAAACTCAATATTTGAGATTTTCTGCGACACCGCACTGTTTTGGCCATAACTTTTGACTCGGTGATCCGATTTGAGCAAACTTTTTTTTGTTGGAAAGCTAACGCATAGATCTACATTTATTCTAGGGGTTTACCCCAGAACCCATTCTCACGCGCCCTCACTCGCAGTCTTTGAGGGTCAAAACGTGAGTTTTCCGACAAACATTGTAAATCACCGATGTCCAGGTCAAAATTTAGGCAAATCTGTTCAAATTCTTTCAAAGTCAACCCTGAGGTCAAAACTTTTCTAAACTTCAATGTAAAGGTCTGAAAATCGTAGATAATTCAATCAACCTCGCGTCAACGGTCATCTTACAACAATCAACAATCAACTGCTGAAGCCTCCCCTGACTCATCAACATTATGTGTTCATCAATATGCTGAAATTCTACATGGTGAGTTCAGGGAAACCGTCATGTGTGGTACATGTTTAGATTGCTCCACACACATGGCGGGTATGACAAGCTGTGAGCAATCAATCCTTGCACATTCTGAGGGGGAGTTTCAGTTTTCTCCTCCTGGCGCCTTACACCGACAAAGCAAGGAATCTCTCAACGGATGCAACATTCTAGGGGGAGTGTTCAATGTTATCCTCCCCGGTGCCTAACAATGACAAAGCATACCGGGTGCTCCAGTTGAGGGGGAGCACAGAGAGAAAATGAAGAAAGTAATGAGAGAACATGTCCCTATGGCTTAGTTAACCCAACTAAGCCTACCCAAGGGACAAAGCCGAGCGTAAGTGCGTAAGCGAGCGAGTGAGTGAGTGAACATTATGAGCATTAGGAAGCAGAAGGCTCAAGTGAGAAGACAAACAATTATCAATGATGAGTCTGCTACCTCAATTGCCTGCTATGAATTGAACATTTGCTCCTAGCCACTAAAATACTCTGGACTATCCCCATAGGTTCAGGACTGAATTTATTCAGATCCCGGGTAGAAGTCGCTGCATTTTGTCCAAACGGCGCATGCACAACCCTACCCTAGACCACTCACTTGTCTCCCAACAGACAGGTGTTTAATCATAGTTCACGGGGAACTGCATCTCTCATTTCTGTCTCCTTCCGAGGCAAGTAATACTGACTACAGTGGCCTCAGCCCCATGCCATTGAACTTTCATTGATCACGTCGTGTCTAGTTACTCACTCCCAAATGTTTTGAAATTTTCTAGGACACAGACACATTTTAGAGTCAGTTGCTAGTCTTCAAGACTTGCGAGAACTTCCATAGGGCTCATCTAATACAGATGTAGACCAATAATTGGAAGGAAGTCCTGCTGTTGCAACATAAGAATCACCAACATTTTCAGGCCATTGCTTTAGAGTTTATCTCTATAGTGATGATAACGGGCGTCTTCACGACCCCGGGGGGCTACGTTATCTTTTTTAGATTCTGCTTGTTTTTCATGTTTTTATTTCCGCAGAATAAAAGAATAAAAGCATGACGTCCCGATTCATCGGATCGTCATGAGGGGGAGAGTGGTCCACATGCTGTTAACACTGAACAAATCATTCTGGGACACTTCACTCACTCCTCCATCACAAAATTCAACACTCTCTCTACTATCTCCGCAACTCAAATCAAATGGTCAGCTACACTCACAAATCAACGATCATTATGTTCCGCTGTGCCACCGACAAGTTCTCCTCAAATGCATTCATTCCAAATAGTCAAAAAAAAAAGACTACATTGTGGAGGAGACAGAGGTCAAATACTCCTGTCCTGAAGATGATTTCCATGGGCGTCTCCTGTTTCTCCAAAGAACATTCATTCTAGAGGCGTCACCGGACTTCATCTAAGCTGATCAAGAGCAACTTCTGGAAGGCAAGGACTACATGCAAGATACTGAAGGTCCCTCAACCCCCGGCATCAAAGATCAAATTGTCAAGAAGACATCAAAGGGGAGATTGCAAGGATTTCTTCAGATAGCCTTCCTCAGAAGTCAAGTTCAAAGACAAAGGAAGCTCAATAACAACAAAGACAAAGATATCTGCGCTGCAATGCTGATTCAACACGATTGATCACCAAGGGGGAGATTGTTGGGAATATTTTATGGTGTTCAATCTAGTTAGTTATCTTTGTATTTGTGTAGTTATTAATTAATCGTGTAATACGGGCCACAAATGTGTATCAGCCCGTGGGCTTCCTTGTAACCCGTAAGTTAGCTAACTTCTCCTATAAAAGGAGGCTAACTTACGGGAACCCTAACGATCGATAGAGGCTTAGAGACGCAGAGGCGTAAAGATAGAGAGAGTTTAGGTTTGCCGCTGCTCTCCTTCTCCAGGAAGAGCAGCGGCCGGTTTTCATACGGTATACCAGATTTGGGTATAAACTTGTCGATTTCTTTCTATCTGCTTCTTCTATAACTGTTATCTTTGTTGTTTGTTAAGTATTCTGGGATTAACAAAATGGTAGTTAATTCAATTCTTTAATCTAGATGGCCAAGCATCTGGAGAATCGGATATTCGATTTTATATAAAAGTTTGTTAAGTTTATTGTCTAAGTTATGTTCAGTGCATAAGTTTGATTGCTTTGCAGTGCGTTTAAAATCATTTCGGATTGTGTTTGGCTTTATATAGGTCGCAGACGCGTACTGTGAAGCTCCGAGCATTGTGAAACTGGATTTAGGAGTGGGCATTATAAATCTAAGGTGAGTGTTGGACTTTTCAAGTTTTATTTTCACAGCATAAGTTTGATTATTTGCAGTGTGTTTTAAACTCATCTCGGATTGGTTTAGTTTGGTTTTTATTTTTTTCGAACACCGATCATAATTCGTTTCTTGCATTTCACCAGTTAAGCTATATTATGTCTACCTTCTTGATATTTTACATTTAAATGCAGTTTTGGGTTTGCATTTGTATATTTTTTGCAATGGCCATCATACCTTAAGATAAATCGTATTTGATTGAATTTATTGGGTTAAGAGCCGAAAGCTTTCTTCTTAACTACTGAAACAACTATTTACTAGTCTCTGAAATTCACTCATATTTATTCGACCATATAGATGGGCTAGCGTCAAGAGAATCTGAAATTACTTTATATATATAAGAGTTTGTAAAGTTTATTTTAAATTTATTTTCAGAGCGGAAGTTTAATTATTTGGTGGTGTTTAAAATCGTTTCGGATTGTGCTTTTATTTATACTGGCTGCAGATGCATATGGCGGAGGTTGGAGCTCTATGAAGTAAGAGTGGGTGTCATCGGGCTTAGGTGAGTGTCATGGTTTTTATTTTAGTGAAGAAATGAATAAGTTTGATTATTTGGGGGTGGGTTTAAAATCATCTCGGATTAGCCTTATTTGGTTTTAATTTTACGAACGGGCTAACGTTGAGAAAGTTGTAAAGCAATGTATTCACATAATTTGTTAAGTTTATTGTATGATATATTTTCCCCTTCAGTTTTAAAAAAAAAAAATCAGTTCAGGTTTTGTTTGGCTTTACATAGGTCATACACAGGAGCACAACATCAAGATTCGAGCACATTGAAGTTGGAGGTAGGCGTGGGTGATTGTCAGACTGAGCAAGTGTTGTGATTTTTAGTTTATAGTAATTGACAAGAATGACTTTATTGCAAGCGTTAGTTTTTTTTATATATTGTGAGTTTAAGTTTGTTTGTTGAAAAGTTTTATCATCCCTGTAATTTGTTGTTTATAACTAAAAAATTTTATAGTTCTAAAAAGAATTCATGTAAGAAAAGTTGAAATTCAGAATCCTAAAGTATTTAGTGAAATAATTTTGGAGTGAGGTAGTATGAATGAATACTTTTTGTTAAATTACTTTTGTAATTAATAGCAGGTTGATGTCCTTGTTCTTCTGTGTTGTATTGTTTGTTGCTTGAACAACCAAAGTGTTATATATACTCTGATTTGTTACATGCTGTTTTAGTTATATGTTAAAAACACCTAAACAGTACTAATCATACTTCGTTTTAATGGTCAATATTTGTTCAAGTACAACAAATTAAAAATTAACTATGTTTGCATCAATCTATTTCATGCTTAATTGAGGAATGAGGATGTTCGCGATCAGTTTAACTAAATTGTTTCAAGAAATTCTTGCACAGCTCCATAAGAAGTAAATGTTATAAACTTTCATTAAGAAAATTGAATGATGCATCAAATCAAAAACTGAGCTCATTGTTCAACTTGAGGCCGTTGCATAAACAAGCTTTAAAATCAGCTATTCATATGACATGCATGTTCATCTAAATAAAAAAATCATCACTCATACTTCATATTTTATATTTTATTAACATTTGAGTTCCTTGATAGGAAATATTCTTGGAGGAAATATTGTCAACTTTTGAAATAGCAGGCATCTAATATTCTCATTAGCAATTCACAGTTTTCAAACATGTTTCTGTTTAAGTCATAATTAGATTTTTACTCTAAAATAATTTTCAAAAAACATAAGCAGTTAGGGGGGTTCTTTTTGTTTCACGGAACTTCAGAAGAAAGAGGTTAATCTTACGTGGCGGGAGTTTTGTTGATCAAAAATATGATTGGATTTAACATCAAATCCTTCAACCTAGCTCTGGTTGTGAACTTCATTTCGACATAGCACAATTCTAAAACTATTCATAAAGAAAGGGTTTCTACGAGCAATTCGGGAAGGTGATTTCTCAAACTAATTTCTAATCTGTCATGTTTGGTGTTAGAAGTGAAAAAGAAAATGAAGGACTCAAAAGAGCAGGCACTTCTAGCAGGGTTTATTTTGTTATGTAATTCGTGTTATGGAAAATTTAATTTAGGTGTATGCAAAATGTAATTTGTTGAGGAAAATCCAAATGTAACTCGCGCATAGGAAGATGTAAATAACACATAAGAAGATATAACTCATGCATAAGAAGTATATTATACAACTTAATATACAACTTTGGTGTAGCTTCATATACAACCAAATATAACTGGATGATTGGAAATAAACAACTCAATGTCTTAAAACTCTCTAAAAAGATATAAATGAGATTAAATATACAAGTATATTATAAGTGTATGAATAAAGAAAGTTACAAAGATAAAAATAGTGTATGAATATGAAATGCAATACACTTTTCATTTAAATTAATAAATTTTTTATTATGAATTTATACAAAAATAGATTGAGTGATAATTTAAGTTGAAGATAAAAGTAAATTAAAGTAATACAATTAAATTTTTAGTATTTTGATGGAGGAGGAGAAAAGAATTGAAGAAAAGGAAAATAAAGCAGAAGAAAAAGCAAACGAAAAGGATGTAACTCGCGCATAAGAAGATGTAACTCGCGTATAAAAAGATGTAACTCCTACACATGAAAAATGTAAATTTTTCATAAGAAGATGTAATTTCCTGTTTGATAAATGTAAATCGAAATAAACAAATTTAATGTCTTAGAAAACACTAAAACTTTTAAAAGAAGTAAAGGAATATATTATAGTAATTAAAATGTAATTGTGATCTTGTGGAAACATAAAGTAAATTTAGTTTGTTGTCACACACCACGTGTGTTCAACCTAGAGTCAATGAACCACAATTTCAATTCTTTGTAATTACTGGTGGACGACAATTGAGTGATGAAGTAGTGTGTGCGTGGGAACGAGCGAAGGGTGATGAAGTAAAAACGACGATTCCAGACTTGCAGTGACAGAGAAGAATCAATAGGAGGGTGCGACCTTGTTTTTATTTATTGAAACGACGCCGTATTGGGACCGGTATACCATGCAGAAGTTATACTGATCCCACGGTATAATTTGTGCTATAACACGGATGCACAGGAGAGCTCCCCAAACAACCAAGTTCTTAATAATTAAATAAAGGAACATTGTGCCATACAACTTCTGGCATTCAAATCCATTGCATTACTAAGAAATTTTAAAACAGTACACATTGTTCCAAGCTTACATCCTCAAATACACACTACCTATTAAAGTAAGAATTTTTTTTATGTGTTTGGGTTGGGCTGTGTATTTTGGGCAATTTGAGGTGGTTAGGGTGGTTTGGGGGTGAGGGGGAGGGTTGGGGGTTAACTAGGAAATGCCAAAAAAAAAAAAATTAAACCGAGGCCCGGCCCGGACCCGGGGGTTACCCGGGCCGGTTCCGGGCCTCCCCTTCTTGAACCGAGGCCCGGCCGGGCCCAGGCCCGAACCGGGCCCGAACCGGAACCGGTCCACCCCTACTTACATCCTCAAATACACACTACGTACTAAAGCAAGAAGTACAATCATAGTAAACCCATACACTTCCTACTCTGTTTGTTGACCTTCGCCTCATTGTCAACAACAGTTTTGACCCAAGCAACATCAATTGTACTAGCGAAATCTTTAGGACAAGTCCTTCGACCATTTTTTCAAATCATCTGCACTTTCGCTCTTCGCTTCAGCCTTGCCATATTCTTCTTTTCTTCAGCCCTCACAATGTGTCGTATGCCTACATCTTCCTTCCATAAGAAAAACCGCAACTCCCAACCTGTACACATTAACATGTTAATGGAAATTTTCCAAATCATTAAAATATATAACGTATACAATAAATGAACGACGCAACACACCTTAATTCAAAACCATACAGCCAAAATCATAGACTTACCTTCCATTTTTGACACCCAAAAAACTTCTCCCACTCTCTCGGCCAACGCATAGAGAAGCTTTCAATCCACACCAACAATGAATAACAGGCTCGTAGTCAAAGGTACGACTTCGTTCTTTTAGAAGCGTAGATGATGATGAAGACGACATACTTGCGAAGGCCTCAGTCTGAAGGGAGAAGGAGAAGGTGCCAGCTTTGAAGTGGGGAATTTGGGAATTTGGGGTTTTGGGGATTTTTACAAACGTTTAGGCTTTGAAGTGGGGAAAAGCCAAGTCAGATTAAATGCCCGGTAAGGGAGGGACACGTTGGAGTCCATGTCAGCCATTAACTAGCTAACCGAGCATCAACCGGCTAAAAAGGCAGATTGGGTGTTTTTGTTGAGTACGCGGACTTGATTGGGTGATTCGGAACTACGAGGGCTTAATTGAGGAATTGACCAAAGTACGAGGGCCTATTTGAGAGTTTTCTCAAATTTAAATGTAATTGTGATCATATGTAGTATGTGTTGCTGCACTTGCAAGTTGTAAGATAAAAAACTTAGCTTGAGGTTAGTTTCTTTCTCTTCTCTCTAATGCATTTATATTATTTTGAATGGATAAAAGAGATTTTGAATGCAAAGAGAATGAAATATATTTGGTTTTGGTCTTTTGTAAACATAAAATAAATTTAGTTTGTTGTCACACACCACGTGCGTTCAACCTAGAGACAACGAACCACAATTTCAATTCTTTGTAATTACGAGTGGGCGACAATTAAGAGATGAAGCAGTGTGTGCGTGAGAACGAGCAAAGGGTGATGAAGGAAATATTAAAAGACGATTGAAGACTTGCTGTGACAAAGAAGAATCGATAGGAGGGTGCAAACTTGTTTTTATTTATTGAAACCACGCCATATTGGGACCGGTATACTACACCCATTTTATACCAAATATTATACTACCTCCGTTCTTAAATAAATGCAACACTTTGACTTTTATACTATTCACATGTTCTACTTTGACTTCGTTTTATTTATTAATGTAATAATATTATTTTATGAAAAAAATATTGTTAAACTTGTCTCATTGTAATTTTCATAATCTAATTTTTTTTTAATTTTTTTTACTAATAAAAATCATTTATATTAATGGTCAAAGTTGTGTCTCGCCAAGTGTAAAATGTTGACCGTTGCATTTATTATTTAAGAACGGAGAAAATATTACCTATCCCCAAATATAATTTGCCCCGTAATTTGTTATAAGGATCCCCAAATATATTATGTAATTTGACCCATAATTTGTTATAAGGATCTCCAAATATATTACGTATCTTCCGATATCTTCCACGGATCTTTTGATATATTACCACTCCAACGGCTCTTTTGACATCCTCGAGAGGCCGTTAGGTCCTTCCGCATCCGTCAGCCGTCACCCTCTGCATGTGCAAAGCTCAATCGACCATCCGCCTGCGAAGCAATCGCAGAAATGAAATGGCCGACACCTATGGGTCTGCCAAGAAGAATGCTTCGAGACCATCAGGTCAGCAGTCTCACCTTCCGCGGGTGTGAAACCCTAGCCCTTCAAAAACAATTGTTCCTAAAGTAAGTTTATCAATAGTGGAAAAGTAAAGATCAGTCATTAGTATATTATTCATATTTGCATATCTTTATCAGTTCACCACTTCTCAGTTTTCAGGCAGTAGATAAGGTTTTGGAATGACCTATTTGTAGTACGTAAAGCAAGGCTTTGAAATTATTCAACCAAATTGTTTTGTAAGTTTTCTCCCACCACAAATAATTTATAGTTTTTTGTTGTTTCTATTTATTTGATCTTTCATTTCACCACCAATAGCCACAGATTCAGTTTTTTGTTGCTCAATTACATATGCTTTGTGTGATATGCAGTTCTATTTTTTTTACTTCCCTTTGAACATTTTTATCTGCATTTTTTGTTGCATGATTACATATACTTCTCTAGATTACACTGCGAATTAGATCATCAATAGTTCAGGTCCTATTTCATGACACATACCTTACTGTCTTCCAGGAGCAGATATTAAAACATAGACACTCTAGAAACATGGAACCTGAATCAGTGATTTTGTTTATGATCTTACATGAAGTATGACACATTGATATATTGTCATAACTGATAGTTGGTTTCTGTGTTGAGAAACATGTATGCAATTTCACCAATGGGGTGGAATTTCATGTACATATCCTTTTTCATAAGATAGATTTGTTTGACAATTCAGTATGCATCTTACACCTGCCTCTTAAGCTATATTTATCATTTTGTGTAGATTCGTGGATGCTCAGGTTGTTGTAATTTCAGGCATACTTGTTGTGTGCTTCTTTTTACCTTTTGTTTCTTGATTCTGCAGGACCTTAAAAGCTCTTTCGGAAGTTCACAATCATGGAAGCCAAGGCACATTCATTGCAAGAATTCCAGTTTGACGTTTTTCTGGCAAGAGTCACTAGAAGTGTTGCAAAACTGACAATGATCTGGACCATTTCTCTGCTTTAAAGGTGAAATTGAACCCTGTTAATGTTTTTTCCCTTGTTATTGTATTATTTGTTTTCTATTCCTTCTTAACATGGGAAAATTTTATATGGGCATTGCAGTTGTAAGATTTGGACTTTTAGTAACCCGAGATTTGCCCATCGTGAGAAGGCAATCAACAGAACACTCTTGGATGAAGAAATGCAGGATGCTTGAGAGATGTTACATGATAAATGCAGGTGTATATATATGTTATGCCTTTGTTCTCTTTAGGCGCCCCTTGTCATAATATTTTCAGTTTAAACATAGAGTGGTGGGTATTAACAAGTGTTTTACCATGTTATAATTCCTGAGTGGTATCAATAAGAAATTATCTTCCGTTTGTTTACTATTACTAGTCCTACATGAATACTTTTCTTTTGTGCCAATTGATTTTGTTTTTCTGAACAGGATAAACTAATTCAAAAGAAGCCCAATCGAAAAGGTCCAAATGTGAGTAGTCTACTGGCCGGATAATTCGGATTTGTCTAATCTGAGTATAGTATCGTGAGATAACCGAAGTCTCCAACACCAAATGTTTCGCCAAGTCCTTACCAAGCAGCAGAATTCTCAACTGAATTCTTGGTAAGCACATAATGGTGCGAGTGATAGCTTGAACCTGCTGATGGTACCCCTTGATGGGACACAGTCTTGCTAGAAATCTGAGGTTCAAGTTGCTAGAGTAAGTTTGGCAAGCCTGGAAAACAATAAAGTGGTTAATAATATCTTTTTCTTTTTTGCATCTCTTTGATCATTCACTGCTTTTCAGGCAGTAGAGAAGATTTCGGCAGGAGTTATATGGGGAGTGATGGCACTAGAAGAAGTACGTTCCAAGCATAGTTTAGAAATTATGCAACCAAATTGTTCAGTAAGTCATCTCCCTCAAGCAAGAAGTTATGTATTTTTTCGTTTCTAATTATTTGATCTTCATGTCACAATCACTTAAAGCCTATTCAGGTGTACAATCCTGAGCATGAATGCAATTAGATAATTAGTCAAGTACTAAATTTTGATAGAGAGCTTGACTGATGGGACCGGACCCTAAATGATTTTACGTGATTATAAGCTCATACGTTAGACCATTTCATAAGTGCATATGTAATTCTGAAGTGGTATCAATAAAAAACTTATCATTCTGTGTTTACTATTCTTACATTAACACTTATCTTTCCTGCCTTGTGATTTTCCTTCTGAACAGGATGAACAAATGAAGGCCAATACGAGAGATCAAAATAACTATTGTTCTACTGGATGAAATGCCAAAGAAGCCTGAATCTTTTAAATGAAAAAAGGAAAAGGAACTGTTAAATCTTGAGTTCGAATTTGCCATCAGGATAGGGAAGGCGTGTATCGAAGAAATTGTTTTTGAAGAAGAAATGGATACAAAAACCTATAAAATAAAGAAAAGAACAAATAAAAAAGAAAATAAAAAAGCCAAAAAAAAAGAAAACAAAAAAGAAAACAAATACAAAAAAAGGCGAAAAAACAAAACAAAAACACATTTCCCTGTGCTGTTGCTTTATTCATGAGGTGTGAAAGCCTAGCCCTGCGAAAACAATTGTTCCTAAAGTAAGTTTATCAATCGTGGAAAAGTAAAGATAAGTCATTAGTATACTTTTTATATTTGCATATCTTTAACCGTTCACTACTTTTCTGTTTTCAGGCAGCAGAGAAGGTTTTGGAATGAGCTATTTATAGAGTGATGGCATTGAACTAGTACGTTAAGCAAGGCTTTGAAATAATTCAACTAAATTGTTTTGTAAGTTTTCTCCCACCAGAAATAATTTATTGTTTTTTGTTGTTTCAATTTATTTGATCTTTCATTTCACCACCAATAGCCACAGATTCCGTTTTTTATTGCTAAATTACATATGCTTTGTGTGATATGCGGTTCTATTTTTTTACTTTCCTGTGGACATTTTTATCTGCATTTTTGTTGCATTATTACATGTGCTTCTCTAGATTACACTGCGAATTAGATCATCAATAGTTCAGTCCCTGTTTCATGACACATACCTTACTGTCTTCCAGGAGCAGATATTAAAACATAGACACTCTAAAAACATGGAACCTGAGTCAGTACTTTTGTTTATGATCTTACCTGAAGTATGAGACATCGATATATTGTCATAACCGATAGTCGGGTTCTGTGTTGAGAAACATGTATGCAATTTCACCAATGGGGTGGAATTTCATCTACATATCCTTTTTCATAAGATAGATTTGTTTGACAATTCAGTACGCATCTTACACCTGCCTCTTTCGCTATATTTATCATCTTGTGTAGATTTGTAAATGGTCTGGTTGCTGTAATTTCACGCATACTTGTTGTTTGCTTCTATTACCTTTTGTTTCTCTCTTTGTCAGGACCTTATAAGTTTTTGTGGAAGTTCACAATCATGGAAGCCAAGGCACATTCATTGCACGAAATCCAGTTTGACGTTTCTTTGGCAAGAGTCACTAGAAGGGTTGCTAAACTGACAATGATCTGGACCATTTCTCTGCTTTAAAGGTGAAACTGAACCCTTTTAATGTTTTTTTCCCTTGTTATTGTATTATTTGTTTTGTATTCCTTCTCAACATGGGAAAATTTTAAATGGGCATTGCAGTTGTAAGATTTGGACTTTTAGTAACCCGAGATTTGCCCATCATGAGAAGGCAATCAAGAGCACACTCTTGGATGAAGAAATGCAGGATGCTTGAGAGATGTTACATGATAAATGCAGGTGTATATATATGTTATGCCTTTGTTCTCTTTAGGCGCCTCTTGTCATAATATTTTTCTGTTTAAAAATAGAGTGGTGTGTATTAACAAGTGTTATACCATGTTATAATTCCTGAAGTGGTATCAATAAGAAATTATCTTCCGTTTGTTTACTATTACTAGTCCTACATGAATAATTTTCTTTTGTGCCTATGAATTTTGTTTTTCTGAACAGGATAAACTAATTCAAAAGAAGCCCAATCTAAAAGGTCCAATTGTTTCGTGAGATAACCGAAGTCTCCAACACCAAATATTTTGCCAAGTCTTACCTAGCAGCAGAATTCTTGGTAAGCACATATTGGTGCGAGTGATAGCTTGAACCTGATGATGATACCCCATGATGGGACACAGTCTTGCTAGAAATCTGAGGTTCAAGTTCCTAGAGTAAGTTTGGCAAGCCTGGAAAACTGTAAAGTGGTTAATAATATCTTTTTCTTTTTTGCATATCTTTGACCGTTCACTGCTTTTCAGGGAGTAGAGAAGATTTCGGCAGGAGTTATATGGGGAGTAGTGATGGCACTAGAAGAAGTACGTTCCAAGCATAGTTTAGAAATTATGCAACTAAATTGTTCGGTAAGTCATCTCCATCAAGCAAGAAGTTATATATTTTTTCCTTTCTAATTATTTGATCTTCATGTCGCAATCACTAACAGCCCATTCAGCTGTACAATCATGAGCATGAATGCAATTAGATAATTAGTCCAATACTAAATTTCGATAGAGAGCTTGACTGATGGGACCCTAAATGATTTTAAATGATTATAGGCTCATACGTTAGATCATTTCATAAGTGCATATGTAATTCTGAAGTGGTATCAATAAAATACTTATCATCCTTGTGTTTACTATTCTAAAATTAGCACTTATGTTTCCTGCCTTGTGATTTTCCTACTGAACAGGATGAACAAATGAAGGCCAATAAGAGAGATCAAAATAAGAAGTGTTCTACTGGATGGAATGCCAATGAAGCCTGAATCTTTTAAATGAAAAGGAAAAGGAAATGTTAAATCTTGAGTTCGAAATTGCATTAGGAGAGGGAAGGCGTGTACCGATGAAATTGTTTTTGACGAAAAAATGGATACAAAAACCTAAAAAAAAAGAAAAGAACAAAAAAAAAGAAAACAGAAAAGCAAAAAAAAAGAATAGAGAACAAAAAAGCAAAAAAAAAAAAAAATAGAAAACCAAAACAAAAGAAAACAAATACAAAAAAAAGGTGAAATAAAAAAAAAAACTTATGTCCCAGTGCTGTTGCTTTGTTCATGAGGTGTGAAAGCCTATCCATGCGAAAACAATTGTGCACATTCATTGCAAGAATTCCAGTTTGACGTTTTTTTGGCAAGAGTCACTAAAGGGTTGCAAAACTGACCATGATCTGGACCATTTCTCTGCTTTAAAGGTCAAACTGAACCCTGTTAATGTTTTTTCCGTTGTTATTGTATTATTCATTTTCTATTCCTTCTCAACATGGGAAAATTTTATATGGGCATTGCAGTTGTAAGATTTGGACTTTTAGTAACCCGAGATTTGCCCATCGTGAGAAGGCAATCAAGAGCACACTCTGGGATGAAGAAACGCAAGATGCTTGAGAGTTGTTACATGATAAATGCAGGTGTATATATATGTTATGCCTTTGTTCTTTTTAGGCGCCTCTAGTCATAATATTTCTGTTTAAAAATAGAATGGTGGGTATTAACAAGTGTTATACCATGTTATAATTCCTGAGTTGTATCAATAAAAAATTAACTTCCGTTTGTTTACTATTACTAGTCTTACATGAACATTTTTCTTTTGTGCCTATTGATTTTGTTTTTCTAAACAGGATAATCTAATTCAAAAGTAGCCCAATCGAAAAGGTCCAAATGTGTGTAGTCTACTGGCTGGATGATTCGGATTTGCCTAATCTGAGTATAGTTTCGTGAGAAACCGAAGTCTCATCACCAAATGTTTCGCCAAGTCTTACCTAGCAGCAGAATTCTTGGTAAGCACATATTGGTGCCAGTGATAGCTTGAACCTGCTGATGGTACCCCTTGATGGGACACAGTCTTGCTAGAAATCTGAGGTTCAAGCTCCTAGAGTAAGTTTGGCAAGCCTGGAAAACTGTAAAGTGGTTAATAATATCTTTTTCTTTTTTGCATATCTTTGACCGTTCACTGCTTTTCAGGGAGTAGAGAAGATTTCGGCAGGAGTTATATGGGGAGTGATGGCACTAGAAGAAGTACGTTCCAAGCATAGTTTAGAAATTATGCAACTAAATTGTTCGGTAAGTCATCTCCATCAAGCAAGAAGTTATATATTTTTTCCTTTCTAATTATTTGATCTTCATGTCACAATCACTAACAGCCCATTCAGCTGTACAATCATGAGCATGAATGCAATTAGATAATTAGTCCAATACTAAATTTCGATAGAGAGCTTGACTGATGGGACCCTAAATGATTTTAAATGATTATAGGCTCACACGTTAGATCATTTCATAAGTGCATATGTAATTCTGAAGTGGTATCAATAAAATACTTATCATCCTTGTGTTTACTATTCTAAAATTAGCACTTATGTTTCCTGCCTTGTGATTTTCCTACTGAACAGGATGAACAAATGAAGGCCAATAAGAGAGATCAAAATAAGAAGTGTTCTACTGGATGGAATGCCAATGAAGCCTGAATCTTTTAAATGAAAAGGAAAAGGAAATGTTAAATCTTGAGTTCGAAATTGCATTAGGAGAGGGAAGGCGTGTACCGATGAAATTGTTTTTGACGAAAAAATGGATACAAAAACCTAAAAAAAAAGAAAAGAACAAAAAAAAAGAAAACAGAAAAGCAAAAAAAAAGAATAGAGAACAAAAAAGCAAAAAAAAAAAAATAGAAAACCAAAAAAAAAGAAAACAAATACAAAAAAAAGGTGAAATAAAAAAAAAAACTTATGTCCCAGTGCTGTTGCTTTGTTCATGAGGTGTGAAAGCCTATCCATGCGAAAACAATTGTGCACATTCATTGCAAGAATTCCAGTTTGACGTTTTTTTGGCAAGAGTCACTAAAGGGTTGCAAAACTGACCATGATCTGGACCATTTCTCTGCTTTAAAGGTCAAACTGAACCCTGTTAATGTTTTTTCCGTTGTTATTGTATTATTCATTTTCTATTCCTTCTCAACATGGGAAAATTTTATATGGGCATTGCAGTTGTAAGATTTGGACTTTTAGTAACCCGAGATTTGCCCATCGTGAGAAGGCAATCAAGAGCACACTCTGGGATGAAGAAACGCAAGATGCTTGAGAGTTGTTACATGATAAATGCAGGTGTATATATATGTTATGCCTTTGTTCTTTTTAGGCGCCTCTAGTCATAATATTTCTGTTTAAAAATAGAATGGTGGGTATTAACAAGTGTTATACCATGTTATAATTCCTGAGTTGTATCAATAAAAAATTAACTTCCGTTTGTTTACTATTACTAGTCTTACATGAACATTTTTCTTTTGTGCCTATTGATTTTGTTTTTCTAAACAGGATAATCTAATTCAAAAGTAGCCCAATCGAAAAGGTCCAAATGTGTGTAGTCTACTGGCTGGATGATTCGGATTTGCCTAATCTGAGTATAGTTTCGTGAGAAACCGAAGTCTCATCACCAAATGTTTCGCCAAGTCTTACCTAGCAGCAGAATTCTTGGTAAGCACATATTGGTGCCAGTGATAGCTTGAACCTGCTGATGGTACCCCTTGATGGGACACAGTCTTGCTAGAAATCTGAGGTTCAAGTTCCTAGAGTAAGTTTGGCAAGCCTGGAAAACTGTAAAGTGGTTAATAATATCTTTTTCTTTTTTGCATATCTTTGACCGTTCACTGCTTTTCAGGGAGTAGAGAAGATTTCGGCAGGAGTTATATGGGGAGTGATGGCACTAGAAGAAGTACGTTCCAAGCATAGTTTAGAAATTATGCAACTAAATTGTTCGGTAAGTCATCTCCATCAAGCAAGAAGTTATATATTTTTTCCTTTCTAATTATTTGATCTTCATGTCACAATCACTAACAGCCCATTCAGCTGTACAATCATGAGCATGAATGCAATTAGATAATTAGTCCAATACTAAATTTCGATAGAGAGCTTGACTGATGGGACCCTAAATGATTTTAAATGATTATAGGCTCATACGTTAGATCATTTCATAAGTGCATATGTAATTCTGAAGTGGTATCAATAAAATACTTATCATCCTTGTGTTTACTATTCTAAAATTAGCACTTATGTTTCCTGCCTTGTGATTTTCCTACTGAACAGGATGAACAAATGAAGGCCAATAAGAGAGATCAAAATAAGAAGTGTTCTACTGGATGGAATGCCAATGAAGCCTGAATCTTTTAAATGAAAAGGAAAAGGAAATGTTAAATCTTGAGTTCGAAATTGCATTAGGAGAGGGAAGGCGTGTACCGATGAAATTGTTTTTGACGAAAAAATGGATACAAAAACCTAAAAAAAAAAGAAAAGAACAAAAAAAAAGAAAACAGAAAAGCAAAAAAAAAGAATAGAGAACAAAAAAGCAAAAAAAAAAAAATAGAAAACCAAAAAAAAAGAAAACAAATACAAAAAAAAGGTGAAATAAAAAAAAAAACTTATGTCCCAGTGCTGTTGCTTTGTTCATGAGGTGTGAAAGCCTATCCATGCGAAAACAATTGTGCACATTCATTGCAAGAATTCCAGTTTGACGTTTTTTTGGCAAGAGTCACTAAAGGGTTGCAAAACTGACCATGATCTGGACCATTTCTCTGCTTTAAAGGTCAAACTGAACCCTGTTAATGTTTTTTCCGTTGTTATTGTATTATTCATTTTCTATTCCTTCTCAACATGGGAAAATTTTATATGGGCATTGCAGTTGTAAGATTTGGACTTTTAGTAACCCGAGATTTGCCCATCGTGAGAAGGCAATCAAGAGCACACTCTGGGATGAAGAAACGCAAGATGCTTGAGAGTTGTTACATGATAAATGCAGGTGTATATATATGTTATGCCTTTGTTCTTTTTAGGCGCCTCTAGTCATAATATTTCTGTTTAAAAATAGAATGGTGGGTATTAACAAGTGTTATACCATGTTATAATTCCTGAGTTGTATCAATAAAAAATTAACTTCCGTTTGTTTACTATTACTAGTCTTACATGAACATTTTTCTTTTGTGCCTATTGATTTTGTTTTTCTAAACAGGATAATCTAATTCAAAAGTAGCCCAATCGAAAAGGTCCAAATGTGTGTAGTCTACTGGCTGGATGATTCGGATTTGCCTAATCTGAGTATAGTTTCGTGAGAAACCGAAGTCTCATCACCAAATGTTTCGCCAAGTCTTACCTAGCAGCAGAATTCTTGGTAAGCACATATTGGTGCCAGTGATAGCTTGAACCTGCTGATGGTACCCCTTGATGGGACACAGTCTTGCTAGAAATCTGAGGTTCAAGTTCCTAGAGTAAGTTTGGCAAGCCTGGAAAACTGTAAAGTGGTTAATAATATCTTTTTCTTTTTTGCATATCTTTGACCGTTCACTGCTTTTCAGGGAGTAGAGAAGATTTCGGCAGGAGTTATATGGGGAGTGATGGCACTAGAAGAAGTACGTTCCAAGCATAGTTTAGAAATTATGCAACTAAATTGTTCGGTAAGTCATCTCCATCAAGCAAGAAGTTATATATTTTTTCCTTTCTAATTATTTGATCTTCATGTCACAATCACTAACAGCCCATTCAGCTGTACAATCATGAGCATGAATGCAATTAGATAATTAGTCCAATACTAAATTTCGATAGAGAGCTTGACTGATGGGACCCTAAATGATTTTAAGTGATTATAGGCTCATACGTTAGATCATTTCATAAGTGCATATGTAATTCTGAAGTGGTATCAATAAAATACTTATCATCCTTGTGTTTACTATTCTAAAATTAGCACTTATCTTTCCTGCCTTGTGATTTTCCTGCTGAACAGGATGAACAAATGAAGGCCAATACGAGAGATCAAAATAAGAAGTGTTCTACTGGATGGAATGCCAATGAAGCCTGAATCTTTTAAATGAAAAGGAAAAGGAAATGTTAAATCTTGAGTTCGAAATTGCATTAGGAGAGGGAAGGCGTGTACCGATGAAATTGTTTTTGACGAAAAAATGGATACAAAAACCTAAAGAAAAAGAAAAGAACAAAAAAAAAGAAAACAGAAAAGCAAAAAAAAAAGAATAGAGAACAAAAAAGCAAAAAAAAAAAAAAAAGAAAACCAAAAAAAAGAAAACAAATACAAAAAAAAAGGTGAAATAAAAATAAACAAAAACTTATGTCTCAGTGCTGTTGCTTTGTTCATGACGTGTGAAAGCCTATCCATGCGAAAACAATTGTGCACATTCAATGCAAGAATTCCAGTTTGACGTTTTTTTGGCAAGAGTCACTAAAGGGTTGCAAAACTGACAATGATCTGGACCATTTCTGTGCTTTAAAGGTCAAACTGAACCCTGTTAATGTTTTTCCGTTGTTATTGTATTATTCATTTTCTATTCCTTCTCAACATGGGAAAATTTTATATGGGCATTGCAGTTGTAAGATTTGGACTTTTAGTAACCCGAGATTTGCCCATCGTGAGAAGGTAATCAAGAGCACACTCTGGGATGAAGAAACGCAAGATGCTTGAGAGTTGTTACATGATAAATGCAGGTGTATATATATGTTATGCCTTTGTTCTTTTTAGGCGCCTCTAGTCATAATATTTCTGTTTAAAAATAGAATGGTGGGTATTAACAAGTGTTATACCATGTTATAATTCCTGAGTCGTATCAATAAAAAATTATCTTCCATTTGTTTACTATTACTAGTCCTACATGAACATTTTTCTTTTGTGCCTATTGATTTTGTTTTTCTAAACAGGATAAACTAATTCAAAAGTAGCCCAATCGAAAAGGTCCAAATGTGTGTAGTCTACTGGCTGGATGATTCGGATTTGCCTAATCTGAGTATAGTTTCGTGAGAAACCGAAGTCTCATCACCAAATGTTTCGCCAAGTCTTACCTAGCAGCAGAATTCTTGGTAAGCACATATTGGTGCCAGTGATAGCTTGAACCTGCTGATGGGTACCCCTTGATGGGACACAGTCTTGCTAGAAATCTGAGGTTCAAGTTCCTAGAGTAAGTTTGGCAAGCCTGGAAAACTGTAAAGTGGTTAATAATATCTTTTTCTTTTTTGCATATCTTTGACCGTTCACTGCTTTTCAGGGAGTAGAGAAGATTTCGGCAGGAGTTATATGGGGAGTGATGGCACTAGAAGAAGTACGTTCCAAGCATAGTTTAGAAATTATGCAACTAAATTGTTCGGTAAGTCATCTCCATCAAGCAAGAAGTTATATATTTTTTCCTTTCTAATTATTTGATCTTCATGTCACAATCACTAACAGCCCATTCAGCTGTACAATCATGAGCATGAATGCAATTAGATAATTAGTCCAATACTAAATTTCGATAGAGAGCTTGACTGATGGGACCCTAAATGATTTTAAGTGATTATAGGCTCATACGTTAGATCATTTCATAAGTGCATATGTAATTCTGAAGTGGTATCAATAAAATACTTATCATCCTTGTGTTTACTATTCTAAAATTAGCACTTATCTTTCCTGCCTTGTGATTTTCCTGCTGAACAGGATGAACAAATGAAGGCCAATACGAGAGATCAAAATAAGAAGTGTTCTACTGGATGGAATGCCAATGAAGCCTGAATCTTTTAAATGAAAAGGAAAAGGAAATGTTAAATCTTGAGTTCGAAATTGCATTAGGAGAGGGAAGGCGTGTACCGATGAAATTGTTTTTGACGAAAAAATGGATACAAAAACCTAAAGAAAAAGAAAAGAACAAAAAAAAGAAAACAGAAAAGCAAAAAAAAAAGAATAGAGAACAAAAAAGCAAAAAAAAAAAAAAAGAAAACCAAAAAAAAGAAAACAAATACAAAAAAAAAGGTGAAATAAAAATAAACAAAAACTTATGTCCCAGTGCTGTTGCTTTGTTCATGACGTGTGAAAGCCTATCCATGCGAAAACAATTGTGCACATTCAATGCAAGAATTCCAGTTTGACGTTTTTTTGGCAAGAGTCACTAAAGGGTTGCAAAACTGACAATGATCTGGACCATTTCTCTGCTTTAAAGGTCAAACTGAACCCTGTTAATGTTTTTCCGTTGTTATTGTATTATTCATTTTCTATTCCTTCTCAACATGGGAAAATTTTATATGGGCATTGCAGTTGTAAGATTTGGACTTTTAGTAACCCGAGATTTGCCCATCGTGAGAAGGTAATCAAGAGCACACTCTGGGATGAAGAAACGCAAGATGCTTGAGAGTTGTTACATGATAAATGCAGGTGTATATATATGTTATGCCTTTGTTCTTTTTAGGCGCCTCTAGTCATAATATTTCTGTTTAAAAATAGAATGGTGGGTATTAACAAGTGTTATACCATGTTATAATTCCTGAGTCGTATCAATAAAAAATTATCTTCCGTTTGTTTACTATTACTAGTCCTACATGAACATTTTTCTTTTGTGCCTATTGATTTTGTTTTTCTAAACAGGATAAACTAATTCAAAAGTAGCCCAATCGAAAAGGTCCAAATGTGTGTAGTCTACTGGCTGGATGATTCGGATTTGCCTAATCTGAGTATAGTTTCGTGAGAAACCGAACTCTCATCACCAAATGTTTCGCCAAGTCTTACCTAGCAGCAGAATTCTTGGTAAGCACATATTGGTGCGAGTGATAGCTTGAACCTGATGATGATACCCCATGATGGGACACAGTCTTGCTAGAAATCTGAGGTTCAAGTTCCTAGAGTAAGTTTGGCAAGCCTGGAAAACTGTAAAGTGGTTAATAATTTCTTTTTCTTTTTTGCATATCTTTGACCGTTCACTGCTTTTCAGGGAGTAGAGAAGATTTCGGCAGGAGTTATATGGGGAGTAGTGATGGCACTAGAAGAAGTACGTTCCAAGCATAGTTTAGAAATTATGCAACTAAATTGTTCGGTAAGTCATCTCCATCAAGCAAGAAGTTATATATTTTTTCCTTTCTAATTATTTGATCTTCATGTCACAATCACTTACAGCCCATTCAGCTGTACAATCATGAGCATGAATGCAATTAGATAATTAGTCCAATACTAAATTTCGATAGAGAGCTTGACTGATGGGACCCTAAATGATTTTAAGTGATTATAGGCTCATACGTTAGATCATTTCATAAGTGCATATGTAATTCTGAAGTGGTATCAATAAAATACTTATCATCCTTGTGTTTACTATTCTAAAATTAGCACTTATCTTTCCTGCCTTGTGATTTTCCTGCTGAACAGGATGAACAAATGAAGGCCAATACGAGAGATCAAAATAAGAAGTGTTCTACTGGATGGAATGCCAATGAAGCCTGAATCTTTTAAATGAAAAGGAAAAGGAAATGTTAAATCTTGAGTTCGAAATTGCATTAGGAGAGGGAAGGCGTGTACCGATGAAATTGTTTTTGACGAAAAAATGGATACAAAAACCTAAAAAAAAAGAAAAGAACAAAAAAAAGAAAACAGAAAAGCAAAAAAAAAAAAGAATAGAGAACAAAAAAGCAAAAAAAAAAGAAAAGAAAACCAAAAAAAAAAGAAAACAAATACAAAAAAAAAGGTGAAATAAAAAAAACAAAAACTTATGTCCCAGTGCTGTTGCTTTGTTCATGACGTGTGAAAGCCTATCCATGCGAAAACAATTGTGCACATTCAATGCAAGAATTCCAGTTTGACGTTTTTTTGGCAAGAGTCACTAAAGGGTTGCAAAACTGACAATGATCTGGACCATTTCTCTGCTTTAAAGGTCAAACTGAACCCTGTTAATGTTTTTCCGTTGTTATTGTATTATTCATTTTCTATTCCTTCTCAACATGGGAAAATTTTATATGGGCATTGCAGTTGTAAGATTTGGACTTTTAGTAACCCGAGATTTGCCCATCGTGAGAAGGTAATCAAGAGCACACTCTGGGATGAAGAAACGCAAGATGCTTGAGAGTTGTTACATGATAAATGCAGGTGTATATATATGTTATGCCTTTGTTCTTTTTAGGCGCCTCTAGTCATAATATTTCTGTTTAAAACTAGAATGGTGGGTATTAACAAGTGTTATACCATGTTATAATTCCTGAGTTGTATCAATAAAAAATTATCTTCCGTTTGTTTACTATTACTAGTCCTACATGAACATTTTTCTTTTGTGCCTATTGATTTTGTTTTTCTAAACAGGATAAACTAATTCAAAAGTAGCCCAATCGAAAAGGTCCATATGTGTGTAGTCTACTGGCTGGATGATTCGGATTTGCCTAATCTGAGTATAGTTTCGTGAGAAACCGAAGTCTCATCACCAAATGTTTCGCCAAGTCTTACCTAGCAGCAGAAATCTTGGTAAGCACATATTGGTGCCAGTGATAGCTTGAACCTGCTGATGGTACCCCTTGATGGGACACAGCCTGGAAAACTATAAAGTGGTTAATAATATATTTTTCTTATTTGCATATCTTTGACCGTTCACTGCTTTTCATTCAGTAGAGAAGATTTCGGTTGGAGTTATATGGGGAGTGATGGCACTGGAAGAAGTACGTTCCAAGCATAGTTTAGAAATTATGCAACTAAATTGTTCGGTAAGTCATCTTCCCTCAAGCAAGAAGTTATATATTTTTTTCCTTTCTAATTATTTGATCTTCATGTCACAATCACTAACAGCCCATTCAGCTGTACAATCATGAGCATGAATGCAATTAGATAATTAGTCCAATACTAAATTTCGATAGAGAGCTTGACTGATGGGACCCTAAATGATTTTAAGTGATTATAGGCTCATACGTTAGATCATTTCATCAGTGCAAATGTAATTCTGAAGTGGTATCAATAAAATACTTAGCATCCTTGTGTTTACTATTCTAACATTAGCACTTATCTTTCCTGCCTTGTGATTTTCCTTCTGAACAGGATGAACAAATGAAGGCCAATACGAGAGATCAAAATAAGAAGTGTTCTACTGGATGGAATGCCAATGAAGCCTGAATCTTTTAAATGAAAAGGAAAAGGAAATGTTAAATCTTGAGTTCGAAATTGCCATTAGGAGAGGGAAGGCGTGTACCGATGAAATTGTTTTTGACGAAAAAATGGATAAAAAAACCTAAAAAAAAGAAACGAACAAAAAAAGAAAACAGAAAAGCAAAAACAAAAGAATAGAGAACAAAAATGCAAAAAAAAAAAAATAGAAAACCAAAAAAAAGAAAAGAACACAAATACAAAAAAAAAAGGCGAAATAAAAAAAACAAAAACTTATGCCCCAGTGGTGTTGCTTTGTTCATGAGGTGTGAAAGCCTATCCATGCGAAAACAATTGTGCCTAAAGTAAGTTTATCAATCGTGGAAAAGTAAAGATAACTCTTTAGTATATTTTTCATATTAGTATATCTCCAACCGTTCATTACTTTTCAGTTATCAGGCAGTACAGAATGTTCTGGAATGAGCTATTTGTAGAGTAATGACACTGAAGTAGTACGTTAAGAAAGGCTTTGAAATTATTCAACTAAATTGTTTTGTAAGTTTTTTCCCACCAGAAATAATTTGTAGTTTTTTGTTGTTTCTACTTATTTGATCTTTCATTTCACCACCAATAGCCACAGATTCAGTTTTTTGTTGCTCAGTTACATATGCTTTGTGTGATATGCAGTTCTATTTTTTTTTACGTCCCTTTGAACATTTTTATCTGCATTTTTCGTTGCATGATTACATATGCTTCTTTAGATTACACTGCGAACATACTTGTCACGGCGTCGCCTAGTCGGTGACTAGGCGTCCTGGCGCTAGGGAATGGTCGCCGGGTTAACTCGCCTCGCCAGAAGAAGAGTAGGCGACGTTGGTGTCGTCCAGTCGTCGTCCAGGCGAGCTTTTGGCGATAAGGCGTCTAGATTTTGGCTAGTGTAACCGCAGTCCGCAGGCCCAAGAAGCAGACGCGACTCGCAGGAAGCAGACGAGCGTAGATCACACAGTCTCGCAGTCTCTCGCAGGAAGCAGACGAGCGCAGATCGCAGTCTCACACTCGCAGGAAGCAGCCGACAAGTACGCTTCGAGGCCCCCATCTCTTCTCGTTTTGTCGAACTTCTCTTCTCCTCTGTCGATTGATTTTTGAATATTCTAATTAATTAATTTGTATATATACTACGTATATTGTATACATAGTACGCACGCATACAGTCAGTCAGAGGCATAGAGCATAGGATGCTTGGTGTTATTTTATAGTCTTATACAATTACTGTATGTTATAAAACCGTTAAACTATTAATAAAAACTACCCTGTATTATATAAAACTATAAATAATTGTGTATACAAATATATGAATTATGATATACGTACTTTATGAGATAGCATTTTTACTCATAATTGCCCTTAATAAACCTTAGTTTCAAGGAAATTTCAAAACATTCAATCATTAATTGTTGTATTCAATTCTAGGTAATATACAATTTAATTAGTAATATATTATTTATAATTATACATATGATTATATGTAATATAATATATACATATATAATGTATTATTCAATGTACAACTAGTCGCCTAATTGTCGCCTAGGCGGGCGCCTTGTCGCCTAGGCGATATGGCGGTCGGCTGGCGCCGTGACTCGCCTTACCGCCGTGACAAGTATGACTGCAAATTAGATCATAAATAGTTCGGGCCCTGTTTCATGACACATACCTTACTGTCTTCGAGGAGCAGATATTAAAACATAGACACTCTAGAAACATGGAACCTGAATCAGTGCTTTTGTTTATGATCTTACATGAAGTATGAGACATTGATAAATTGTCATAACTGATAGTTGGTTTCTGTGTTGAGAAACATGTATGCAATTTCGCCAATGGGGTCGAATTTCATGTACGTATCCTTTTTCATAAGATAGATTTGTTTGACAATTCAGTACGCATCTTACACCTGCCTCTTAAGCTATATTTATCATTTTGTGTAAATTCGTGGATGCTCAGATTGCTGTAATTTCAGGCGGCATACTTGTTGTGTGCTTCTTTTGTGTAAAACCTTTTGTTTCTTGATTCTGCAGGACCTTAAATGTTCTTGCGAAAGTTCACAATCATGGAAGCCAAGGCACATTCATTGCTAGAATTCCAGTTTGGTAAGCGCATATTGGTGCCGGTGATAGCTTGAACCTGCTGATGGTACCCCTTGATGGGACACAGTCTTGCTAGAAATCTGAGGTTCAAGTTCCTAGAGTAAGTTTGTCAAGCCTGGAAAACTGTAAAGCGGTTAATAATATATTTTTCTTTTTTGCATATCTTTGACCGTTCACTGCTTTTCAGGCAGTAGAGAAGATTTTGGTAGGAGTTATATGGGGAGTGATGGCACTAGAAGAAGTACGTTCCAAGCATAGTTTAGAAATTATGCAACTAAATTGTTCGGTAAGTCATCTCCCTCAAGCAAGAAGTTATATATTTTTTCTTTTCTAATTATTTGATCATCATGTCACAATCACTAACAGCCTATTCAGCAATACAAACATGAACATGAAGAAAACAAATACAAAAAAAAACGGCGAAAAAACAAACAAAACAAAAACACATGTCCCAATGCTGTTGCTTTGTTCATGAGGTGTGAAAGCCTAGCCCTGCGAAAACAATTGTTCCTAAAGTAAGTTTATCAATCGTGTAAAAGTAAAGATAAGTCATTAGTATATTTTTCATATTTGTATATCTTTAACCGTTCACTACTTTTCAGTTTTCAGGCAGTAGAGAAGGTTTTGGAATGAGCTATTTGTAGAGTGATGGCACTGAAATAATACGTTAAGCAAGGCTTTGAAATTATTCAACTAAATTGTTTTGTAAGTTTTCTCCCACCAGAAATAATATATAGTTTTTTGTTGTTTCTACTTATTTGATCTTTCATTTCACCACCAATAGCCACAGATTCAGTTTTTTGTTGCTCAATTACATATGCTTTGTGTGATATGCAGTTCTATTTTTTTTACTTACTTCCCTTTGAACATTTTTATCTGCACTTTTTGTTACATGATTACATATGCTTCTCTAAATAACACTGCGAATTAGATCATCAATAGTTCAGGCCCTGTTTCATGACACATACCTTACTGTCTTCCAGGAGCAGATATTAAAACATAGACACTCTAGAAACATGGAAGTTGAATCAGTGCTTTAGTTTATGATCTTACATGAACTATGAGACATTGATATATTGTCATAACTAATAGTTGGTTTCTGTGTTGAGAAACATGTATGCAATTTCACCAATGGGGTGGAATTTCATGTACATATCCTTTTTCATAAGATAGATTTGTTTGACAATTCAGTACGCATCTTACAGGCCTCTTAAGCTATATTTATCATTTTGTGTAGATTCTTGGATGCTCAGGTTGCTTTAATTTCAGGCATACTTGTTGTGTGCTTTTTTTACCTTTTGTTTCTCGATTCTGCAGGACCTTAAAAGTTCTTTTGGAAGATCACAATCATGGAAGCCTAGGCACATTCATTGCAGGTGTATATATATGTTATGCCTTTGTTCTCTTTAGGCGCCTCTTGTTATAATATTTCTGTTTAAAAATAGAGTGGTGAGTATTAACAAGTGTTATACCATGTTATAATTCCTGCGTGGTATCAATAAGAAATTATCTTCCGTTTGTTTACTACTACTAGTCCTACATGAACACTTTTCTTTTGTGCCTATTGATTTTGTTTTTCTGAACAGGATAAACTAATTCAAAAGAAGCCCAATCGAAAAGGTCTAAATGTGAATAGTCTACTGGCTGGATGATTCGGATTTGCCTAATCTTAGTATAGTTTCGTGAGATAACCGAAGTCTCCAACACCAAATGTTTCGCCAAGTCTTACCTAGCAGCATCATTCTTGGTAAGCACACATTGGTGCCAGTGATAGCTTGAACCTGCTGATGGTACCCCTTGATGGAACACATTCTTGATAGAAATCTGAGGTTCAAGTTCCTAGAGTAAGTTTCCCAAGCCTGGAAAACTATAAAGTGGTTAATAATATCTTTTTCTTTTTTGCTTATCTTTGACCGTTCATTACTTTTCAGGCAGTAGAGAAGATTTGGGCAGGACGTATATGGGAAGTGCACTAGAAGAAGTACGTTCCAAGCATAGTTTAGAAATTATGCAACTAAATTGTTCTATACGTGATATATATTTTCGGTAAGTTATCTTCTTCAAGCAAGAAGTTATATATTTTTCCTTTCTAATGATTTGATCTTCATGTCACAATCACTAACAGCCTATTCAGCAGTACAAACATGAGCATCAATGCAATTAGTTAATTAGTCAAATACTCAATTTCGATAGAGAGCTTGACTGATGGGACCCTAAATGATTTTACGTGATTATAGGCTCATACGTTAGACCATTTCATAAGTGCATATGTAATTCTGAAGTGGTATCAATAAAAAACTTATCATACTTGTGTTTACTATTCTAACATTAGCACTTATCTTTCCTGCCTTTTGATTTTCCTTCTGAACAGGATGAACAAATGAAGGCCATTACGAGAGATCAAAATAAGAAGTGTTGTACCGGATGGAATGCCAAAGAAGCCTGAATCTTTTAAATGAAAAGGAAAAGGAAATGTTAAGTCTTGAGTTCGAAATTGCAATCAGGACAGGGAAGGCGTGTACCGAAGAAATTGTTTTTGACGAAAAAATGGATACAAAAACCTAAAAAAAATGAAACGAATAAAAAAAAGAAAATAAAAAAGCCAAAAAAAAAGAAAACAAAAAAGCCAAAAAAAAAACAATCATGGCACTGAAGTAGTACGTTAAGCATGGCTTTGAAATTATTCAACTAAATTGTTTTGTAAGTTTTCTCCCACCAGAAATAATTTATAGTTTTTTTTTGTTTCTATTTATTTTATTTTATCTTTCATTTCACCACCAATAGCCACAGATTCAGTTTTTTGTTGCTCAATTACATATGCTTTGTGTGGAATGCAGTTCTATTTTTTTTTTTTACTTTCCTTTGAACATTTTTATCTGCATTTTTTGTTGCATGATTACAAATGCTTGTCTAGATTACACTGCGAATTAGATCATCAATAGTTCAGGCCCTGTTTAATGACACATACCTTGCTGTCTTCCAGGAGCAGATATTAAAACATAGACACTCTAAAAGCATGGAACCTGAATCAGTGCTTTTGTTTATGATCTTACTTGCCACTTAAGTTATATTTATCATCTTGTGTAGATTCGTGGATGCTCAGGTTGCTGTAATTTCAGGCATACTTGTTGTGTGCTTCTATTACCTTTTGTTTCTTGATCTGCAGGACCTTAAAAGTTCTTGCGGAAGTTCACAATCATGGAAGCAAAGGCACATTCTTTGCAACATTTCAAGTTTGACTTTTTTTGGCAGGACTCACTAGAAGGGTTGCAAAACTAACAATGATCTGGACTATTTCTCTGCTTTAAAGGTAAAAGTCTCACCGTGAAACTGAACCCTGTTAATGTTTTTTCCCTTGTTATTGTGTTACTCTTTTTCAATTCCTTCTCAACATGGGAAAATTTTATATGGGCATTGCAGTTGTTAAGCTTTGGACTTTTAGTAACCCGAGATTTGCCCATCGTGAGAAGGCAATTAAGGGCACACTCTTGGATGAGGAAAAGCTGGATGCTTGAGAGATGTTACATGATAAATGCAGATGTATATATATGTTATGCCTTTGTTCTCTTTAGGCGCCTCTTGTCATTATATTTCTGTGTAAAAATAGAGTGGTGGGTATTAACAAATTTTATACCATGTTATGACTTCATTTAAAATCATTTCGGATCTTCCGTTTGTTTATTTTCATTGCGGAAGTTTCTGCGGTGCGTTTAAAATCATTCCGGTTTGTGTTTGGCTTTATATAGGTCGCAGACGCGTACGACGAAGCTCTGAGCATTGTGAAACTGGATTTGGGAGTGGGCATTATAAAGCTAAGGTGAGTGTTGTACTTTTCATGTTTTATTTTCACATTATAAGTGTGATTATTTGCAGTGTGTTTAAACTCATCTCGGATTGGCTTAGTTTGGATTTTATTTTTTCAAACACTGATCATACTTCATTTCTTGCTAATCATGAGTTTATTTTCCAGTTAAGCTCTATTATGTCTACTGTTTTGAAATTTTACATTTGAAAACAGTGAAGAAAGAATATTAATTTAAAACTAACTTCTCATTCTGTAGTAATTGAGAAGAAAGACTTTATTGCAAGCATTAGTTTTTTTTTTTTGATATTGTGAGTTATAAGTTTGTTTGTTTAAAATATATATGATCCTTGGAATTTGTTGTTAACAACTAAAATTGATTATAGTTCTAAAAAGAATTCTAAAAAGAATTCATGTAAGAAAAGTCGATATTCAGAGTCCTAAAGTATAAAGTGAAGTTTTTTCGGAGTGAGGTAGTATTACTACGATCAGGAGGGTTATTCTATCGATAAGGTTAAATGAATGAATACTTTTTGTTAAATTACTTTTGTAATTAGTTGCAGGTTGATGTCCTTATTCTTTTATGTTGTATTGTTTGTTGCTAGAACAACCAAAGTGTTATATATACTCCGATCTGTTACATGCTGTTTTAGTTCTCAGTTAAAACTCCTAAACAGCACTGATCATACTTTGTTTCTTACAAATCATGAGTTTCTTCTAGTTGCGCATGATGTCTACCTTTTTTTAAATTTTACATTGGAAAGCAATAGTGAAAGAATAATGGTAGTTATGCTTGGTCTCTACCAACTTTTTCCAAAGCCCATTAAATCTTAAGATGAATGGTAGTTAATTGAATTCTTTAAGTTAGTATAATGATTATGAGAACCTCCTTCCAAACAACTTTACAACTCTTTACTAGTCTCGGAAATTTACTCATATTTATTAAAAAATCTAGATGGACAAGCAAATCGAGAATCGGATATCCAATTTCATATAAAAGTTTGTTACATTTATTGTTTAATTTATTTTCATTGCGTAAGTTTGATTGCTTTGCAGAGCCTTTAAAATCATTTCGGATTGTGTTTGGGTTTATATAGGTCGCAGACGCGTACGATGAAGCTCTGAGCATTGTGAAACTGGATTTAGGAGTGGGCATTATAAAGCCAATGTGAGTGTTGTACTTTTCATGTTCTATTTTCACAGCATAAGTTTGATTATTTGCGATGTGTTTAAACTCATCTCGGATTTGCTTAGTTTGGTTTTTATTTTTTCGAACACTGATCATACTTCGTTTCTTGCAAATCATGAGTTTATTTTCCAGTTAAGCTATATTATGTCTACCTTCTTGATATTTTACATTTAAAAGCAGTGAAGAAAGAATAGTAATTTAGAACTAATTTCTCTACTCGCAGTTTTGGGTGTGCAGTTGTATATTTTTTACAAAGGCAATCAAACCTTAAGATAAATGGTATTTGATTGAATTTATTGAGTTAAGACCCGAGAGTTTTCTTCTGAACAACTTTAACAACTATTTACAAGTCTTCGAAATTCAGTCATATTTATTCGACCATCGAGATGGGCTAGCGTCTAGAGCGTAAGTTTATTATACATGTTGCAGATGCATATGACGTAGGTTGGAGTACTATGAAGTTCAATTTAGGAGTGGGTGTTATTGGGCTTAGGTGAGTGTTGTGGTTTTTATATTAGGGAAGAAATGAATAAGTTTGATTATTTCGCGGTGTGTCTAAAATCATCTCGGATTGGCCTTCTTTGTTTTTGATTTTACGAGCGGGCTTACGTTGAGAAAGTTGTAAAGCAATTCATTCACAAAATTTGTCAAGTTCAGTGCTTGATTTATTTTCCCGATAGTGTTTTTTAAAAATCAGTTCCGTGTTTGTTTGGCTTTACACAGGTTACACACCGAAGCGCAGCATCAAGATTCGAGCACATTGAAGTTGGAGGTAGGCGTAGGTGATTGTCAGACTGAGTAAGTGTTGTGATTTTTAGTTTATAGTAATTGACAAGAATGACTTTATTGCAAGCGTCAGCTTTTTTTTTGATATTGTGATTTTGTTTGTTAAAAAGTTTTATCATCCCTGTAATTTGTTGTTTTTAACTAAAAATTTTCATAGTTCTAAAAAGAATTCATGTAAGAAAAGTTGATATTCAGAATCCTAAAGTATTTAGTGAAATATTTTCGGAGTGAGGTTGTATGAATGAATACTTTTTGTTAAATTACTTTTGTAATTAGTAGCAGGTTGATGTCCTTATTCTTCTGTGTTGTATTGTTTGTTGCTTGAACAACCAAAGTGTTATATATACTCCGATCTGTTACATGTTGTTTTAGTTATTTGTTAAAAACACCGAAACAGTACTAATCATACTTCGTTTCTTACACAAATCATGAGTTTATTCTAGTTAGGCTTGAAGTCTTCCTTTTTTTAAATTTTACATTTAAAAGCAATAGTGAAAGAATAATGGTAGTTATGCTTGGTCTCTACCAACTTTTTCCAAAGCCCATCAAATCTTAAGATAAATGGTAGTTAATTGAATTCTTTAAGTTAGTATAAAGATCCCGAGAACCTCCTTCCAAAAAACCTTACAACTCTTTACTAGTCTCGTAAATTTACTCATATTTACTCAAAAATCTAGATGCCAAAGCATCTGGAGATTCACATATCCAATTTTATATAAAAGTTTGTTAAGTTTATTGTCTAAGTTATTTTAAGTGCGTAAGTTTGATTGCTTTGCAGTGCGTTTAAAATTATTTAACATTATGTTTGGCTTTATATAGGTCGCAGACGCGTACGGTGAAGCTCCGAGCATTGTGAAACTGGATTTAGGAGTGGGCATTATAAAGCTAAGGTGAGTGTTGGACTTTTCATGTTTTATTTTCACAGCATAAGTTTGATTATTTGCAGTGTGTTTAAACTCATCTCGGATTGGCTTAGTTTGGTTTTTATTTTTCAAACACCGATCATATTTCGTTTAATGCAAATAATGAGTTTATTTTCCAGTTAAGCTCTATTATGTATACGTTTTTGAAATTTTACATTTAAAAGCAATGAAGAAAGAATATTAATATAAAACTAATTTCTTAACTCGTTGTTTTGGGTAGGCAGTTGTATATTTTTTGCAAAGGCCATCAAACCTTAAGATAAATGGTATTTGGTTGAATTTATTGGGTTAAGAGCCTAGAGATTTCTTCTTAATTACTGAAACAACTATTTACTAGTCTCTGAAATTCACTCATATTTATTTGACCAAGGTTTGATTTTTATTTTTTCAAACATGGATCACACTTCGTTTCTTGCAAATCATGAGGTTATTTTCCAGTTAAGCTTTATTATGTTTACCTTTTTAAAATTTTACATTTAAAAGCAGTGAAGAAAAATAGTAGTTTAAAACTAATTTCTCAACTCGTAGTTTTGGGTGGGCAGTTGTATATTTTTTGCAAAGGCCATCAAACCTTAAGATAAATGGCATTTGATTAAATTTATTGAGTTAAGACCCGAGAGCTTTCTTCTGAATAACTTAAACAACTATTTACTAGACTCTGAAATTCACTTATGTTTTTTCGACCATCTAGATGGGCTAGCGTCTAGAGAATCTGAAATAACTTTATATATATAAAAGTTTGTAAAGTTCATTGTTTAATTTATTTTCGGAGCGTCTAAAGTGTGTTTTAAATCGTTTCGGATTGTGCTTTTATTTATACGGGTTGCAGATGCATATGACGGAGGTTGGAGCTCTATGAAGTTGCATTTAGGAGTGGGTGTTATCGGGCTTAGGTGAGAGTTGTGGTTTTTATTTTAGTGAAGAAATGAATAAGTTTGATTATTTAGCGGTGTGTTTAAAATAATCTCGGATTAGCCTTATTTGGTTTTGATTTTACGAACGGGCTAACGTTGAGAAAGTTGTAAAGCAATTTATTCACATTTTTGGTTAAGTTTACTGTATGATTTATTTTCCCCGTTAGTTTTTTTAAAAATTCAGTTCGAGCACATTGAAGTTGGTGGTCGGGGTGGGTGATTATCACACTGAGTAAGTGTTGTGATTTTCATTCTGTAGTAATTAAAAAGAAAAACTTTATTGCAAGCATTAGTTTTTTTGATATTGTGAGTTTCAGTTTTTGTTGAAAATATATATATAATCAATGTAATTTGTTGTTTATAACTAAAATTTATCATAGTTCTAAAAAGAATTCATGTAAGAAAAGTTGATATTCAAAATCCTAAAGTATTAAGTGATGTTTTTTCGTAGTGTGTTAGTATTACTATGTGGTTTAATGAATGAATACTTTTTGTTAAAATACTTTTGTAATTAGGTGCAGGTTGATGTCCTTATTCTTTTGTGTTGTATTGTTTGTTGCTAGAACAACCAAAGTTTTATATATACTCCGATCTGTTACGTGCTGTTTTTGTTATCAGTTAAAAACTCCTAAACAGTACTAATCATACTCCGTTTAAGGGATGGATTCGGGCCGGGTCGGGTCGCCGGTTCAAGAACAGTGGGCCCGAGACCGGCCCGAGGGTTGGACGGGTCCGGTTCGGGTCGGGCCACCTGCCCGGGTCACGGGTCGGGTCCGGTTCGGGCCGGGTCGGTTAAATTTTTTTTTTTTATAATTTATATTTTATAGTTTATAGTTTTATACGAGTATTAAAAACAAACTTCAATTGCATTTGTTTGAACACTGGTCATAATTCGTTTCTTGCAAATCAGGAGTTTATTTTCCTGTTAAGCTATATTATGTCTACCTTCTTGATATTTTACATTTAAAAGCAGTAAAGAAAGAATAGTAATTTAGAACTAATTTCTCTACTCGAAGTTTTGGGTGTGCAGTTGTATATTTTTTGCAAAGGCCATCATACCTTAAGATAAATCATATTTGATTTTACGAACGGGCTAACGTTGAGAAAGTTGTAAAGCAATGTATTCACATAATTTGTTAAGTTTATTGTATGATATATTTCCCCCTTCAGTTTTTTAAAAAAATCAGTACAGGTTTTGTTTGGCTTTACATAGGTCATACACAGAAGCACAACATCAAGATTCGAGCACTCCGAACTCGTGTAGAATTTGATGCGATCATATCTTGCTCTATTTTGTGCCGTTGAAAACGTTTAATATCTCATTGGAAAGATCTTATCGAGTTGTAAAACTTGTCTTCAGGCACTGGTTTAGAAATATCAAGGGATGATTGCCTGATTACTAAAATACACTGTATTTACGCTAAAAGTGCTCTATTTTCGTTGAAAACGCTAAATCATAGAGATAAGGCTAAGTATTTGTGACACTATATCTTGTTGTGTGTTAATCCGTTTGGAGCGTATTTGATCTCGTTGGAAAGATAGATCAGAGCTCTAAAGCTATTGTTCAAACTTCATTTACAATGCATTAAATAAAAGTTACAGATTAACCATATATTCACAAATGTATATGATTTCACTCTGAACTCTTGTGGAATTTGATGCGATCATATGTTGCTCTATTTGTGTCGTTGAAAGTGTTTAATATCTTGTTGGAAAGATCTTACCGAGTTCTAAAACTTGTTTTCAGGCGTTGGTTTCAAAATATCAAGGGATGATTGCTTAATTACTAAAATACACCGTATTTACGCTAAAAGAGCTCTATTTTCACTGAAAACTCTAAATCATAGAGATAAGGCTGGTATTTGTGACACTCATATCTTGCTGTGTGTTTATCCGTTTAAAGCGTATTATATCTCGTTGGAAAGATAGATCAGAGCGCAAAAGTTATTGTTCTAATTTCATTTACAATGCATTAATTAAAAGTTACAGATTAACAATATATTCACAAATGTTTATGATTTCACTCCGAACTCGTGTAGAATTTGATGCGATCATATCTTGTTCTATTTTGTGCCGTCGAAAGCGTTTAATATCACTTTGGAAATATCATATCGAGTTCTAAAACTTGTCTTGAGGAGCTGGTTTCAAAATATAAATGGATGATTGCCTAATTAATAAAATACACTGTATTTACGCTAAAAGTGCTCTATTTTCGTTGAAAACGCTAAATGGATGATTTGTGACACTCGTATCTTGCTGTGTGTTTATCCATTTGGAGCGTATTATATCTCGTTAGAAAGATAGATCGCAGCTCTAAAACTATTGTTCCAACTTCATTTACAATGCATTAATTAAAAGTTACAGATTAACCATATATTCACAAATGTTTCTGATTTCACCCAGAACTTGTGTAGAATTTGATGTGATCATATCTTGCTCTAAAACTTGTATTCAGACGCTGGTTTCGAAATATCAAGGGATGATTGCCTAATTACTAAAATACACTGTATTTACGCTAAAAGTGCTCTATTTTTTTTGAAAATGCTAAATCATAGAGATAAGGCTAAGTATTTGTGACACTCATATCTTGCTATGTGTTTATCCGTTTGGATCGTATTATATCTCGTTGGAAAGATAGATCGGACGCTCTAAAGCTATTGTTCCAACTTCATTTACAATGCATTAATTTAAAGTTACAGATTAACCATATATTCACAAATGTTTCTGATTTCACTCCGAACTCGTGTAGAATGTGATGCGATCATATCATGCTCTATTTTGTGCCGTTGAAAGCGTTTAATATATCGTTGGAAAGATCTTACCGAGTTCTAAAACTTATCTTCAGGAGCCAGTTTCAAAATATCAAGGGATGATTGCCTAATTACTAAAATACACTTTATTTACGTGAAAAGTGCTCTATTTTCGCTGAAAACGCTAAATCATAGAGATAATGCTAAGTATTTGTGACACTCATATCTTGCTATGTGTTTATCCGGTTGGAACGTATTATATCTCGTTGGAAAGATAGATCGGACGCTCTAAAGCTATTGTTCCAACTTCATTTACAATGCATTAATTAAAAGTTACAGATTAACCATATATTCACAAATGTTTCTGATTTCACTCCGAACTCGTGTAGAATTTGATGCGATCATATCTTGCTGTATTTTGTGCCGTTGAAAGCGTTTAATATATCGTTGGAAAGATCTTACCGAGTTCTAAAACTTGTCTTCAGGCGCCGGTTTCAAAATATCAAGGGATGATTGCCTAATTACTAAAATACACTTTATTTACGCTAAAAGTGCTCTATTTTCGGTGAAAACGCTAAATCGTAGAGATAATGCTAAGTATTTGTGACACTCATATCTTGCTGTGTGTTTATCCGGTTGGAACGTATTATATCTCGTTAGAAAGATAGATCGGAGCTCTAAAGCTATTGTTCCAACTTCATTTACAATGCATTAATTAAAAGTTACAGATTAACCATATATTCACAAATGTTTCTGATTTCACTCCGAACTCGTGTAGACTTTGATGTGATCATATCTTGCTCTAAATCTTGTCTTCAGGCGCTGGTTTCCAAATATCAAGGGATGATTGCCTAATTACTAAAATACACTGTATTTACGCTAAAAGTGCTCTATTTTCGCTGAAAATACTAAATCATAGAGATAAGGCTAAGTATTTGTGACACTCATATCTTGCTATGTGTTTATCCGGTTGGATCGTATTATATCTAGTTGGAAGGATAGATCGGACGCTCTAAAGCTATTGTTCCAACTTCATTTACAATGCATTAATTAAAAGTTACAGATTAACCATATATTCACAAATGTTTCTGATTTCACTCCGAACTCGTGTAGAATTTGATACGATCATATCTTGCTCTATTTTGTGCCGTTGAAAGCGTTTAATATCTCGTCGAAATAATCTTACCGAGTTCTAAAAGTTTTCTTCAGGCGCTGGTTTCAAAATATCAAGGGATGATTGCCTAATTACTAAAGCTGCTCTATTTTCGCTGAAAACGTTAAATCATAGAGATACGACTAAGTATTTGTGAAACTCATATCTTGCTGTGTGTTTATCCGGTTGGAGCGTATTATATCTCGTTGGAAAGATAGATCAGAACTCTAAAGCTATTGTTCCAACTTCATTTACAATGCATTAATTAAAAGTTACAGATTAACCATATATTCACAAATGTTTCTGATTTCACTCCGAACTCGTGTCGAATTTGATGCGATCATATCTTGCTCTATTTAATGCCGTTGAAAGCGTTTAATATCTCGTTGGAAAGATCATACCGAGTTCCAAAACTTGTCTTCAGGCGCTGGTTTCAAGATATCAAGGGATGATTGCCTAATTACTAAAATACACTGTATTTACGCAAAACGTGCTCTATTTTCGCTGAAAACGCTAAATCATAGAGATAAGGCTAAGTATTTGTGACACTCATATCTTGCTGTGTGTTTATACGTTTAGAGCGTATTATATCTCTTTGGAAAGATAGATCGGAGCTCTAAATCTATTGTTCCAACTCCATTTACAAAGCATTAATTAAAAGTTACAGATTAACCATATGTTCACAAATGTTTCTTATTTCACTCCGAACTCGTGTAGAATTTTATGCGATCATATCTTGCTCTATTTTGTGCCATTAAAAGCGTTTAATATCTCGTTGGAAAGATATTACCGAGTTCTAAAACTTGTCTTCAGGCGCTGGTTTCAAAATATTAAGGGATGATTGCCTAATTACAAAACTACACTATATTTACGCTAAAAGTGCTCTATTTTCGCTGAAAACGCTAAATCATAGAGATAAGGCTAAGTATTTGTGACACTGATATCTGGCTGTGTGTTTATCCGTTTGGAGCGTATTATATCTCGTTGGAAAGATAGATCGGAGCTCTAAAGCTATTGTTCCAACTTCATTTACAATGCATTAATTAAAAGTTACAGATTAACCATATAATCACAAATGTTTCTGATTTCACTCCGAACTCGTGTAGAATTTGATGCGATCATATCTTTCTCAATTTTGTGCCGTTGAAAACGTTTAATATCTCATTGGAAAGATCTTACTGAGTTGTAAAACTTTTCTTCAGGCGCTGGTTTAGAAATATCAAGGGATGATTGCCTGATTACTAAAATACACTATATTTACGCTAAAAGTGCTCTATTTTCGCTGAAAACGTTAAATCATAGAGATAAGGCTAAGTATTTGTGACACTCATATCTTGCTGTGTGTTTATTCGTTTGGAGCGTATTGGATCTCTTTGGAAAGATAGATCGGAGCTCTAAAGCTATTGTTCAAATTTCATTTACAATGCATTAAATAAAAGTTACAGATTAACCATATATTCACAAATGTTTCTGATTTCAATCTGAACTCGTGTGGAATTTCATGCGATCATATCTTGCTCTATTTTGGGCCGTCGAAAGCGTTTAATATCACGTTGGAAATATCATACCGAGTTCTAAAACTTGTCTTGAGGCGCTGGTTTCAAAATATAAATGGATGATTGTCTAATTAATAAAATACACTGTATTTACGCTAAAAGTGCTCTATTTTCGCTGAAAATGCTAAATCATAGAGATAAGGCTAAGTATGTGTGACACTCATATCTTGCTATGTGTTTATCCGTTTGGATCGTATTATATCTAGTTGGAAAGATAGATCGGACGCTCTAAAGCTATTGTTCCAACTTCATTTACAATGCATTAATTAAAAGTTACAGATAAGGCTAAATATTTGTGACACTTATATCTTGTTGTGTGTTTATCCATTTGGAGGTTATTATATCTCGTTGGAAAGATAGATCGGAGTTGTAAAGCTATTGTTCCAATTTCATTTACAATGCATTAATTAAAAGTTACAGATTAACCATATATTCACAAATGTTTCTGATTTCACTCCGAACTCGTGTAGAATTTGATACGATCATATCTTGCTCTATTTTGTGCCGTTGAAAGCGTTTAATATCTCGTTGAAATGATCTTACCGAGTTCTAAAACTTGTCTTCAGGCGCTGGTTTCAAAATAGCAAGGGATGATTGCCTAATTACTAAAATACACTGTATTTTCGCTAAAGCTGCTCTATTTTCGCTGAAAACGCTAAATCATAGAGATACGGCTAAGTATTTGTGAAACTCATATCTTGCTGTGTGTTTATCCGGATGGAGCGTATTATATCTCGTTGGAAAGATAGATCGGAACTCTAAAGCTATTGTTCCAACTTCATTTACAATGCATTAATTAAAAGTTACAGATTAACCATATGTTCACAAATGTTTCTGATTTCACTCCGAACTCGTGTCGAATTTGATGCGATCATATCTTGCTCTATTTTGTGCCGTTGAAAGCGTTTAATATCTCGTTGGAGAGATCTTACCGAGTTGTAAAACTTGTCTTCAGGCGCTGGTTTAGAAATATCAAGGGATGATTGCCTAATTACTAAAATACACTGTATTTACGCTAAAAGTGCTCTATTTTCGCTGAAAACGTTAAATCATAAAGATAAGGCTAAGTATTTGTGACACTCATATCTTGCCGTGTGTTTATCCGTTTGGAGCGTATTATATCTCGTTGGAAAGATAGATCGGAGCTCTAAAGCTATTGTTCCAACTTCATTTACAATGCATTAAATAAAAGTTACAGATTAACCATATATTCACAAATATTTCGGATTCTAATCTGAACTCGTGTGGAATTTGATGCGATCATATCTTGCTCTATTTTGTGTCGTTGAAAGTGTTTAATATCTTGTTGGAAAGATCTTACCGAGTTCTAAAACTTGTTTTCAGGCGCTGGTTTCAAAATATAAAGGGATGATTGCCTAATTACTAAAATACACTGTATTTACGCTAAAAGTGCTCTATTTTCGCTGAAAACGTTAAATCATAGAGATAAGGCTAGTATTTGTGACACTCATATCTTGCTGTGTGTTTATCCGTTTAAAGCGTATTATATCTCGTTGGAAAGATAGATCAGAGATCTAAAGCTATTGTTCCAACTTCATTTACAATGCATTAATTAAAAGTTACAGATTAACGATATATTCACAAATGTTTCTGATTTCACTCCGAACTCGTGTAGAATTTGATGCGATCATATCTTGCTCTATTTTGTTCCGTTTAAAGCGTTTAATATCACGTTGGAAATATCATACCGAGTTCTAAAACTTGTCTTGCGGCTCTGGTTTCAAAATATCAATGGAAGATTGCCTAATTAATAAAATACACTGTATTTACGCTAAAAGTGCTCTATTTTCGCTGAAAACGCTAAATCAT